ATCCCACTTGATCATGGTGTATGATCCTTTTAACGTGTTGTTGGCTTCTGTTTGCTATTATCTTGTTGAGGATTTTTGCATCTATGTTCATCAGTGATATTGGTCTGTAATTTTCTTATTTTGTAGTATCTTTGTCTGGTTTTGGTATCAGGGTGATGGTGGCCTCATAGAATGAGTTTGGGAGTGCTCCTTCCTCTGCAATTTTTTGGAAGAGTTTGAGAAGGATGGGTGTAAGCTCTTCTCTAAATGTTTGATACAATTCACCTGTGAAGCCATTTGGTCCTGGACTTTTGTTTGTTGGAAGATTTTTAATCACAGTTACAATTTCATTACTTGTGATTGGTCTGTTCATATTTTCTGCTTCTTCCTGGTTCAGTCTTGGAAGGTTACACCTTTCTAAGAATTTGTCCATTTCTTCCAGGTTGTCCATTTCATTGGCAGAGAGTTGCTGGTGGTAGTCTCTTAGGATGCTTTGTATTTCTGCGGTGTCTGTTGTAATGTCTCCTTTTTCATTTCTAATTTTATTGATTTGAGTCCTCTCCCTCTTTTTCTTGATGAGTCTTGCTAATGGTTTATCAATTTTGTTTTATCTTCTCAAAGAACCAGCTTTTAGTTTTATTGATCTTTGCTATTGTTTTCTCTGTTTCTATTTAATTTATTTCTGCTCTGATCTTGATTTCTTTCCTTCTGCTAACTTTGGGTTTTGTTTGTTCTTCTTTCTCTAGTTCCTTTAGGTGTAAGGTTAGATTGTTTATTTCAGATTTTTCTTGTTTCTTGAGGTAGGCTTGTATAGCTATAAACTTCCCTCTTAGAACTGCTTTTGCTGCATCCCATAGGTTTTGGATTGTCGTGTTTTCATGGTCATTTATCTCTAGGTATTTTTTGATTTCCTCTTTGATTTATTCAGTGATCTCTTGGTTATTTAGTAACATATTGTTTAGCCTCCATGTGTTTGTGTTTTTTACGTTTTTTCCCCTGTAATTCATTTCTAACCTCATAGCGTTGTGGTCAAAAAAGATGCTTGATATGATTTCAATTTTCTTAAATTTACTGAGGATTGATTTGTGACCCAAGATGTTATCTATCCTGGAGAATGTTCCATGCGCACTTGAGAAGAAAGTGTAATCTGCTGTTTTAGGATGGACTGTCCTATAAATATCAATTATATCTATCTGGTCTACTGTGTCATTTAAATCTTCTGTTTCCTTATTTATTTTCATTTTGGATGATCTGTCCATTGGTGTAAGCGAGGTGTTAAAGACCCCACTATTATTGTGTTACTGTCAATTTCCTTTTATAGCTGTTAGCAGTTGCCTTATGTATTGAGGTGCTCCTATGTTGGGTGCATATATATTTATAATTGTTATATCTTCTTCTTGGATTGATCCCTTGAGCATTATGTAGTGTCCTTCCTTGTCTCTTGTAACATTCTTTATTTTAAAGTCTATTTTATCTGATGAGTATTGCTACTCCAGCTTTCTTCTGATTTCCATTTGCATGCAATATCGTTTTCCATCCCCTCACTTTCAGTCTGTATGTGTCCCTAGGTCTCAAGTGGGGGTCTCTTGTAGACAGAATATAGATGGGTCTTGCTTTTGTATCCATTCAGCAAGCCTGTGTCTTGTGGTTGGAGCATTTAATCCATTCATGTTTCAGGTAATTATTGATATGTATGTTCCTATGACCATTTTCTTAATTGTTTTGGGTTTGTTTTTGTAGGTCCTACTCTTCTCTTGTGTTTCAACTTAGAGAAGTTCCTTTAGCATTTGTTGTAGAGCTAGTTTGGTGGTGCTGAATTCTCTGAGCTTTTGCTTGTCTGTAAAGCTTCTGATTTCTCCATTGATCTGAATGAGATCCTTGCCAGGTAATCTTCGTTGTAGGTTCTTCCCTTTCATTACTTTAAGTATATCATGCCACTCCCTTCTGGCTTGTAGAGTTTCTGCTGAGAAATCAGCTGTTAACCTTATGGGAGTTCCCTTGTAGGTTGTCATTTTTCACTTGCTGCTTTCAATAATTTTTGTCTTTAATTTTTGCCAATTTGATTACTATGTGTCTCAGCGTGTTTCTCCTTCGGTTTATCCTGTATGGGACTCGCTGCACTTCCTGGACTTGGGTGGCTATTTCCTTTCCCATGTTAGGGACGTTTTTGACTATAATCTCTTCAAATATTTTCTCGGGTCCTTCCTCTCTCTCTTCTCCTTCTGGGACCCCTATAATGTGAATGTGTTTGCGTTTAATGTTGTCCCAGAGGTCTCTTAGGCTGTCTTCATTTCTTTTCATTATTGGTTCTTTATTCTGTTCCACAGCAGTGAATTCCACCATTCTGTCTTCCAGGTCACTTATCCATTCTTCTGCCTCAGTTATTCTGCTATTGATTCCTTCTAGTGTAGTTTTCATTTCAGTTATTGTATTTCTCATCTCTGTTTGTTTGTTCTTCAATTCTTCTAGGTCTTTGTTAAACATTTCTTGCATCTTCTCGATCTTTGCCTTCATTCCTTTTCTGAGGTCCTGCATCACCTTCACTATCATTATTCTGAATTCTTTTTCTGGAAGGTTGCCTATCTCCACTTCATTTAGTTGTTTTTCTGGGGTTTTATCTTGTTCCTTCATCTGGTACATAGCCCTCTGCCTTTTCATCTTGTGTATCGTTCTGTCAATGTGGTTTTTGTTCCACAGGCTGCAGGATTTAGTTCTTCTTGCGTCTGCTGTCTGCCCTCTGGTGGATGAGGCTATCTAAGTGGCTTGTGCAGGTTTCCTGATGGGAGGGACTGGTGGTGGGTAGAGCTGACTGTTGCTCTGGTGGGCAGAGCTCAGTAAAACTTTAATCCGCTTGACTGCTGATGGATGGGGCTGGGTTCCCTCCCTGCTGGTTGTTTGGCCTGAGGCAACCCAACACTGGAGCCTACTTGGGCTCTTTGGTGGGGCTAATGGCGGACTCTGTGAGGTCTCAAGCCACGGAGCACTTCCCAGAACTTCTGCTGTGTCCTTGTCCCCACGGTGAGCCACAGCCACCCCCCGCCTCTGCAGGAGACCCTCCAACACTAGCAGGTAGGTCTGGTTCAGTCTCCCCGGGGTCACTGCTCCTTCCCCTGGGTCCTGACGTGCACACTACTTTGTGTGTGCCCTCCAAGAGTGGAGTCTCTGTTTCCCCCAGTCCTGTCGAAGTCCTGCAGTCAAATCCCACTAGGCTTCAAAGTCTGATTCTCTAGGAATTCCTCCTCTCGTTGCCAGACCCCCAGGTTGGGCAGCCTGACGTGGGGCTCAGAACCTTCACTCCAGTGGGTGGACATCTGTGGTATAAGTGTTCTCCAGTCTGTGAGTCACCCACCCAGCAGTTATGGGATTAGATTTTGCTGTGATTGCGCCCGTCCTACCGTCTCATTGTGGATTCTCCTTCGTCTTTGGATGTGGGGTATCTTTTTTGTGAGTTCCAGTGTCTTCCTGTCGATGACTGTCCAGCAGCTACTTGTGATTCTGGTGTTCTCACAAGAGGGAGTGAGAGCATGTCCTTCTACTCTGCCATCCTGGTTCCCGTATTCACCTCCATATTTAAAAGAGCCCATTCCTCCCTCTTCTCTGTCCTTTACTCTGCTTTATTGTCTTCATAGCATTTATAACTATTTATCAAGTGTTTACTGTCTTGATGAATGGATAAAGAAGATGTGGTACATATACAATGGAATATTACTCGGCCATAAAAAGGAACGAAATTGGATCATTTGTAGAGACGTGGATGGATCTAGAGACTGTGATACAGAGTGAGGTAAGTCAGAAAGAGAAAAAAATTATCGTATGTTAACACATATATGTGGAACCTAGAAAAATGGTACAGATGAACCAGTTTGCAGGGCAGAAATAGAGACACAGATGTAGAGAACAAACGTATGGACACCAAGTGGGGAAAGTGGCGGGGTGGTGGTGGTATTGTGACGAATTGGGAGATTGGGATTGACATGTATACACTGATGTGTATAAAACTGATGACTAATAAGAACCTGCTGTATAAAAAATAAATAAAATTAAATTAAAAAAAAAAGTGTTTACTGTCTCTAGTTACAAGCTCCACATATTAGAGGAGGGGGAAAGATTTTGTCTGTTTTGCTCATTGCCACATCCCAGCACCTACAATGGGGCCCACAAGTACTCAGATGTTTGTTGAAGGGAATGCATGAAGAAATATTTGACTCTAAAGTCCATGCTTTCCATAACATGGCACTACTGCACTAGCACCTACATAGCTTAGCAGAGACTACTGGTAAAAGCTGACTCAGTGCAGGCCTCAGCTATGGATGTTCTCTGAGAAGATCTCTGCCAAAGGATCCACAAGATCTTTGTGTCATGACCACAGCTGGGCAAGTCCTGCAAAGATCTATCATCTAAGGGCTGCTATGAAAGGGGAAAGGGGAGCCTGGAGGCCTACAAGAAAGTGGCAGACTCCTTCCCCTGAATCCAGTTATGTCCCGGCAATGAAGGTGGCAGCATCTGATCAAAGCACCAAGTTCTCAGAAGGGAACGGGAAACAATCCAGCAGGTTGTTTTTTCTTCATTTCTGTACCTGCTCCCTGTTACAAACAAACAAATAAGGCCCTTGTGATGTTTTAAGGCCTTGCTTTACTGGCCTCACTGGAAATCAGTGACAGTGGTGCTTTGACAGCATTACTGTCAGGCAGCTGTTGACGAGGACAGAGAGGAAGGGCTGGGTCTCTGTGGTGGAGTGAAAAGTCAGAGCAGCACCACCTCTAACTATGGAACCTGGACAAATTACTTACACTCAGAACCTCGACGACATTAACTGCAAAATAAGCACAACTCTCCCTATGTCCTTCATCACTGAGAGGACTTAATGAGGTGACAATTTGTTGCAAACGCCTAGCAGAACTCTGAACAAATGCTAGTTCCTTTCCTTCTCTACTCTACGTATAGAACGTTCACCTGGCCACTCCAAATACACACATGAAAGACATGATACTTTTGTGAAACTGATTCAATTAGATAAATACCTTCAGCTTCTTTAGTTCAAGTTGGTGATGTTGTAGAGAATGTTCACATTCATTCTTACTTTCTTTAAGGCCTGCATTTTCTTGCTCCAGCTCTCTCTGCAAATTGAGAAAAGTATGTATAAAAGAAAAGGTCTTTACCATATTTCCCCTGAGCACAGGCCTATCTCTTTGACATGGAACCTTTAAAAATGCCCCCCTTCCTTTTGTTGCCACTGCAGGGGTGGGAGATGAGAATGGGGATTGGGGTGAGGAAGGGAGAGTCACCCTCCTCACAAGAAGAACTAAGGCACTTGATTCTGAAGCCTATGGAACAAGGAGGGGGACCAGGGAAGGGAGAAGCCATTAAGGATGAACAGTATACATTTTAGAAAGGCAGTGGGAAGCCGCTGATGGGACTGGTCAGGAAGCACCAGGAAGTCCATGTGCAGCCCAAGGAAAAAGAAAACCCATTTGTTCAGGGTTTTTATAAAAAGCAGCCTTTTAACATCCAGTCTCATGAGCAGGTGTTTTGGTGAAAGATAAAAACTGCTCCAAAAAGTGGTTCCCTACTTCAGAGGAGGGCTGGTCTTCTTCCCATCAAACAACTTGGCAGCCGAGCCACACGTGAACGTGGTGCTCCCGTGCCCGGCCCCTCTCCTTTCCTCACTCACCACCTTCCGCTCCGCGGCCGCATGGTCGGCTGCCCGAGCTTTCTCCAGGGCAGAGAGCTGGGCCTCCAGTGTGTGGATCTGCTCTGTGCACTGCTGCTCCAGAGCGAGGACCTGCTGCTGTGCACAGCTGCTCTCCTTGTTTGCGGAGGCCTGAGGGGGTAGCAGAGGACAGTTATTCGTGGTGACAATGGGGGCTTTATTCTGTCCCTCAGTGACCCAAAGATGAGTGTCCAATAGAAACAACTCTCCTTCCTGACCTCCAGCCTGGCTGCCGCTGAGGTCCCCTGGCCTGCCTAGGAGCTGGAATCTGGGATTGGTCTTGGTGCTGGGGGGACAGCTCTGGGCATCAGCCAGTCCTAAGACACAGCCCTCCTTCACTCTACTCATTGCTGCCCTCTATGGATGAGGCTTTTCCCTGGGGAGGCACATAACACAGTGATGAAGAACAAGGGCTTTGACCTAGGAAGGATGTGGGTTCAGCCATTTACTAGCTGGGAGACCTTGGGCTAGTGATCTGATCGCCTTTCTGAGCCTGCTTCCTCTGGAGAATAAGGATAACAGTACAGGCTCTTAGGTCTGCTGCAAGGACTAAATTAAAATACATGCAGAGTACTTAGCAGACACGGCAAACAGGCAACAAATGCCGTTTTTATTTCTCAAGTTTCAAGCTCAACACCTGACCTGGCACTGTGACTACCGGCCAAGCCCTTGCCACCTTCTCCCCAGAGCCTGGAGCTGTTCTCCACAGCCCCGGCTGCAAGGTGAGGTTTGAACGCCAGTGGAGACACCACCTCTAACAGTCCCAGAACTAGGCTGGGCTGTCTAGCCCATCACTATCTCTCTGGGTAACTCAGACACTCTAGCAGGTCCTGACTCCCTCTACCTGCACTGCCTATCTGCCCACAACTGTATCTAAGGTCAGGTCCAGATACCATTCCAGAATTTGGGAGTGAGTTTGGGGACCTACAAAGGAATAAAGGGAAAAAGCATCAAGGGCCTAGAACACAGCAGTCACAATATCCACTTACAAGCTCCTGAATCTGAGCTTCCTGAGCTGCCACAACGTCACTGCTCTGTTTTAGCTTCTCCTCAGATGCCTGCAGGCTCTGCTCTAGTTCTTTCACCTGAGGGGGGAAAGAGAAGCATCCTTTCGTTCAAAAGAAGTAGCAACAAAATGGCTTTTAAAATCAAATCTATTTAAATCATAAAACAGGTTCGTTAAAGAAAAATTTTTACTTACAAAAGAAGAAAGATGCTCATAAGTCTACCATTATAAAACACTATCATTCTAATATAGTTTCTTACAGGCTATTTTTATGACTTTTGTTTCTTTCTTTTATTACAACTTCGTATACAATTCTAGTAAAACTTTGTATTTTTCCTCCTTGCTCAAATTTCCTTCTATGCTTCCACGCAGTCTTCAGACCTTAGATTATTTCCTTAAAGGATGTTTCATAATTTCCTGAACCGCTGCCTACTGTTTTCCATTTTGCACATAAAATAATGCAGCAGTTGACATCTTCATGCAAAAAGTGTTGATCTGGTTTGAATCACTTGATTAGGACAGATTCCCAGAAGTGGAATTACTGCTCATGATACAAACTTGGGTTTCCCTCATCCCACAATTAATGATCCAGTCTGACTGTGTACTTGGCACTGCACTAGGACACGAGGCCAGCACAGCGGACAGGATGACACACTGCCTAGCACTGAGCTAGACATGGTTCTTCAATATGGCCTTTTCATCTGACTCAAGCTAACTTTGCCAATTTCTCTTTTAAAGTCCTCTTGTTTGCTGAATAAGGTTTGCCCTGGGGGAACTTTATTATTAAAACACAAGCTCATGGAAGGTTGCAGCTTTGTCAAGGAAAGGTAGGTACCAAATGAGAAAAAGAGTATTTTTAGGTCTCATGGTTTCTCATGTATGTTCACATGTAAGTTTTAACTGAAACAACCCCATGAGAACAGTGTGAGTACTTCCACAGAGAAGAATAGTAATGTTACTTGCTCATGATCACAAATTTTATTAGTGGTAGGGCCACGACTGAAACCTAGCTTTTATTTATTTATTTTTAAATAGGTCTTTATTGGAGTATACTTGCTTCACAATACTGTGTTAGTTTCTGTTGTACACCAAAGTGAATCAGCCATATGTATCCATATGTCCCCATATCCCCTCCCTCTTGAGACTCCCTCCCATCCTCCCTATCCCACCCCTCTAGGTTACCACAAAGCACCAAGCTGATCTCCCTGCGCTATGCTGCTGCTTCCCACTAGCTACCTGCTTTATACTCAGTAGTGTATATTTGTCGATGCTACTCTCACTTTGCCCCATCTTCCCCCTCCCACCCCATGTCCTCAAGTCCATTCTCTACGTCTACATCTTTATTCCTGCCCTGCAACTAGGTTCATCAGTACCTTTTTTTTTTTGATTCCATATATATGCGTTAGCATATGGCATTTGTTTTTCTCTTTCTGACTTATTTCACTCTGTATGACAGACTCTAGGTCCATCCACCTCACTACAAATAACTCAATTTCTTTTCTTTTTATGGCTAATATTCCATTGTATATATGTGCCATATCTTCTTTATCCATTCATCTGTCGATGGACATTTAGGTTAGTTCCATGTCCCGGCTATTGTAAATAGTGCTGCAATGAACATTGTGGTACAAGTCTCTTTCTGAATTACAGTTTTCTCAGGGTATATGCCTAGTATTGGGATTGCTGGGTCATATGGTAATTCTATTTTTAGTTTTTTAAGGAACCTCTATACTGTTCTCCACGGTGGCTGTATCAATTTACATTCCCCCCAACAGTGCAGGAGGGTTCCCTTTTCACCACACCCTCTCCAGCATTTACTGTTTCTAGATTTTTTGATAATGGCCACTCTGACCGGCATGAGGTGATACCTCATTGTAGTTTTGATTTGCATTTCTCTAGTAATTAGTGATGCGGAGCAGCTTTTCATGTGCTTCCTGGCCATCTGTATGTCTTCTTTGGTGAAATGTCTATTTAGGTCTTCCGCCCATTTTTTAATTGGATTGTTTGTTTTTTTGATATTGAGCTCCACGAGCTGTTTGTATATTTTGGAGATTAATCTTTTGTCTGTTGTTTCATTTGTAAATATTTTCTCCCATTCTGAGGGCTGTATTTTTGTCTTGTTTATGGTGAAACCTAGCTTTTTGAACTGCTGGGTTCAGTAAATATCTATGCAAGTCCCAGTTTGCAGGCAGAACTCAAGAAAGATTCAGATCCTCAAAAGGTTATGCACAGAGTTATTATATGACCCAGCAACTCTACTCCTAGGAATATACCCAAGAGAAATGAAAGTATAAGCCCACACAAAAACCTTGTTCATACATTAATGTTCGCTGTAGCATTATTCACAACAACCACAAGGTGGTAACAACCCAAATGTCCATGGACAAATGAATGGATAAACAAAATGTGATAGATGTACAATGGAATAAAAGTCTTAAAAAGGCTTATTCAGCCTTAAAAAGGAGTGAAATTCTGAAACATGCTATAATGTGAACCTTGAAGACATTATGCTCAGTGAAATAAGCCAGACACAAAAAGACAAATACCATATGATTCTACTAATATGAGGTACCTAGGATCATCAAATTCATAAAAACAGAAAGTAGAATGGTGGTTGCCAGGGGCTGGGGAGAGGAGAGAATGGGGAGTTATTGTTTTAATTGGCACAGTTTCTGTTTGAGAAGATGAAAAAGTTCTAGAAATGGATGGTGGTAATGGTTGCATAACAACGTGAATGTACTTTATGCCAGTGTACACCTAGAAATGGTTGAAATGGTAAATTTTATGTTACGTGTATTTTACCACAACAAAAGAATGGATATTCAGAAACAGAACTGAATTATAATAAAACAAAGCTGTATTTAGAGAAAAATATAGCTTTATATATATTTATCAAGAAACAAGAAAGATTAAAAAAATAAGCTAAGCATTTGCAATGGTCTGAATGTTTACATCCCTCCAAAATTCATATATTGAAATCCTAATGTCTGACATGATGGTGTTAGGATGTGAGGTGTCTGGGAGGTACTTAGGTTATGAGGGTGGAGCTATCATGAATGGGATTAGTGTTCTTATAAGCGGCCCCACAGAGATCCCTTGCCACTTCTACCACTTCACACTCATTAAACTGGCAAGAAGGCTGAGAAATGCCAATGCTAGAAAAGACAGAGATGCAGCGATAGGAACTCTCATGCATGCTGGGCGAGTAGAGCCAGGTGCAGGCCTTCTGGGAACATTCCTGTCCTACTGAGTCACATTGAGTCATATGCACTTGCTATCCTTCTTAAGGCAAAAGGGACAAGGATGTTCACCGCAGTGTAATTTGTGGTGACAGAACGAAGGCAATCTGGATATCTAGCATCTAGTAGACAACTATAAAGTATAGTAGGTAAGAACAACGAAGTGGACACAGAAGATGGAGCAGTTGAAAGTAACAAAGAAGACATATGCACAGTTGTATCATTTACTTAAATCAACACACAGACACACAAAACAATGTCACCAGTTTTAAGGTTATCCAACAATAAAAGGGTCTCTATTAACCACATTAGAGTGGTTTCCTATGGGAAGGAGGGGAATGGGGATAAAGGGAATAAACAGAGAAGAGAACAACTTTCTGTGGAACAATGATGGTAATGTGGCAAGAATGAAGAAAACGACTACCTCAGTTCTCTACAAGTAAGATCCGAAAGAGAGTCCCTTTGGAAGAAAACCTCTGACCCAAGGGGATTCTCAGCCACAACCACATCATCCAACCAGGGCACCACCCAGACACAGGAACCACTGGGAGTGAGGTCAGTACCCGAGTCTCCAGGCTGTCAGTGGCATTGGCCTGGCTGCTTCTGGCTGCCAAGAGCTGCTGTCTGGTATCCTCCAAATTCTGCTCAGCAAGTGTTTTCTGTAAGTTGAAAGAAGAGTAAAAGAAAATAGTCATTTCTCCATTGAATAAATATTTACTGACATCTACACCATACTACGATTTGTGCGAGGCACAAGGGACACAAGTACGCACCAAAAAACCCAAAACAGTTAACAGAGATAAAATTCACATATCATAAAGTATACATATAAAGTATACATAAAGTATAAATTTGACCTTGAGGCTGGGGCAAAAACTAACCAAAAAAGTATATAATAGAGTGTAATGGTGTCTACAAAGGAGCAGCACAGAGCAGGAGACCCTCACTGCCTCAGGAAACTAGGAGGCTTCGTTCTTCACAGGTGGCCAGGGCCCAAGGGAGCACCCAGGCAGAGGGATGACACTAGAGGTATGAAACAGCTGGAGGTATCTGGGGAGCTACAGCTTGCCAAAAGTCAAGGTGATGATGGGTTCAGGTCATGAAACAAGACTAGAAAGTTAGGCAAAGGGCTAGATTATGAGAAAAGCTTTTTATGCTACAGAAGGAAGTTTGAACTTAATCCTGTAGCAAATATTTTTCAAAGTGGAGTCATCCAAACACTTGCATTAGACTCATCTGGGTGGGTGGAGGGGTTTTTAAGTTTGAGGCCTTTTCCAGGCCTACTAAAATCAGAATTTCTGAGGGTAGGGCAAGACAGACATATATATATACACACACACACACACATGTATATATATATATATATATATATATATATATTTCTTTTTCTCCCCCAGATTTTTGGCTTGCAAGATCTCAGTTTTCTGACCAGGGATTGAACCTGGGCCACTGCAGTAAAAGTGCTGATTCCTAACCACTGGACTGCCAGGGAATTCCCTAGAAATGTATACTTCAAACAAACTCACCAAGTAACTCCTATGCACACTAAACTTTATAACAATGATGATGGCACAATAATGATTATAATATTAATAGTTGAAATATATTGAGACCCCATGATGTGCTAATTCTAATCATTTCCCAATAACAATTCTATGTGTTTGATACAATTTTAACCCTATTTTACAGAGGGGAAGAAAACACAAAAAGATTAAGTTACTTGCTCTAAGTCAAAACTTAGTAAGTAGAAGAGGTAAAGTGCAAACCTAGGGAGCCTGGTTCTAGAAATCAATCTATACCTTAGAAACCACGTTACACTCACTATAGACTGTAGGGTAATTGCGGAAGCTCTTCATGGGAGTGATATAGTCAGAAATGTTGTTTGGAAAGATGAGTTTCGTGGTGCCGTGGGAGACTGCGTTAGAGGGTGCAGGAGACACTGATGTTGTGTAGGCTAGTCTGGAGACTTCTAACACAGACTAGGCCAGAGTGGCTGGAAACCTGAAGTACAGCAGTGGCAGTGGAGATGGACACATTTAGTTGAAACTGACTGAAGACAGAAAGTGATGGGCTAATCTAGGCCCAAGGCTTGGGTTTTGTCACCTGTCATGTAGGAGAGAGCAGAATGTGGGCAGACAACAAGCAAGTTCACCTACACCACTGGGCTAGAGGCCAGTTGGCTCAACTGCCTCCTTCGGCTAAGGAGAGTCCACTTGCTGCCCAAAGCAATTCTCGCTCACGCCAAAGGCAGATGGTAACTACTTTCCTTGGCCAATGTAAAGTACAATGGGTAGGGAAGGAAAGCAGGGCAGTAAGACAACAACCCAAATGGCGTAAATCACTAGGTGGGGTTTATCAGTGATCAGGATGCCACTCCTTCACATGCATCTCTGAACAAAGTGCTCCCTTTCCTTCAGGAAAACGTCACACACAGGCAACATGATGCTGATTTTACCATAAGCAGATCAAAAGTTGGAGGGAGTGATCTTTTCACCAAGCTCTTTGAAGACTCTCTGGCTCTGAAACTCTAGGATTTTATGAAATCTCCAGTGTTGCTACGGCCCTCCCAACACTGGCCAGCCCAAAGGGAGCTAGTTACCTCTTTTAGAAGTTCCTGTACATGTTCTTCCCCTGATAAGTTCTGCTCCAGTCTCTTCTCCAAGGATGCAACCTTCTCCTGCAAATGTGTGATGAGTTTTTCTTTCTCTTGAGTTTCAGCAGTGGCCTGCAGGTGAAAGCAGAGATTACATTACACTGTCTCTCTCCCTCCCTTCCTGTATCCTCTAGAATCACCATGTTTCTCTGAAATTCTGTTTCCAACTGCATCCTAGAAGAACATACAGCCAGGAGATCTTCCCTGAAAATGGAACAGAGAATATATGAGATCAGAACCCGACACTACTCAGGTATCTGTTTCAGGCCTATTGCAGCAAGCAGCAAACGCTCCCAAATTTAAGCACCTGGCAATTCGGGAAGGAAGAATGCTACTACGTCTGTGGAATCTAGCCAGGACCCTGCGAAGATGTTCCTCCTCTCTAAAATATCCCCTGTGTTGTCATGATCTACTAGCTAAAGGAATGCTCCCCCTCCCACTCTCATCAAGCATAGGTTTAATCCTATTAATCCAGACGCCAACAGGACCTACAACTTTACACCAGATGCCAAGAACCAGCAGAGGTAATTCCACTGAAGAAGCTCCCAGCCAGCCCTACAGTGACCTACAGAACAATACACCTGGAAACGTGTGGCTGGATGAAGCAGTCATGATGCCAGTGTAGCTGCCTTAAGGCTGAAGACAGAACTGAAACAAACAATGATATTCACCCTGGCTCACAGGACAGGGAGCACCTCTGAATCACAGCAGCACCTTACACCATGGCCCCAGATCACCAGCTGCCCACTTATTTATTTCAGTCTACCTCTTTAGCAGTGATGGTAGTGGTGGCAGTGGTGGGTTGGGACTACATTTGTTCCTTTCACAACTGTCAATCTCCAAATGCTGCTCAACATCAAAGCTGAGGATCCAGAATCCTTTGAATATACAATTTCTTAGCTCACAGTGGTCCTTACATCCACTGAACATGCCCATTCTCCACTCAAAATAAGGTCGCATGGCATCAACATTTCATTGTGAAGACTTGAACCTCCTCACAAATACTGTGCTTCCTCAAATTCCCTCACCTTATGATCTGCTGCTCCATCTCAAGCCACAGACTTTCATGTTTAGCTTGCAACCCAGCCAGTTTTCTCCTCAGAATAAGATGTAGCTACTTGGGCCTAGGATTTTGGGAAGAAGCACTTGCCATTCTGAATTCTCACAGGGGTGACAACATATATAGTGGAGGAGAAGTTTGAAGAATGGATTCAAGATCACATAATTCGGGCTTCCCTGGTGGCGTAATGGTTAAGAATCCACCTGCCAATGCAAGGGACACGGGTTCGAGCCCTGGTCCGGGAAGATCCCACATGCCGCGGAGCAACTAAGCCCATGCGCCACAACTACTGAGCCTGCGCTCTAGAGCCTGCGAGCCACAACTACTGAAGCCCGCATGCCTAGAGCCCATGCTCCACAACAAGAGAAGCCACCACAATGAGAAGCCCGCTCACCACAACGAAGGGTAGCCCCCGCTCATTGCAACTAGAGGAAGCCCGCGCACAGCAACGAAGACCCAACGCAGCCAAAAATAAATAAATAATAATTTAAAAAGATAACATAATTCAAAAACTTTTATCAAGCCTATACTCTATGTGTTGTCTCTAGGGATATAATCAGCTATAGTTACTGACCCATAGAAGCATGGAGGCTGGTGGTAAAAAGAGATATACACACAGTTAATTATAAAACAATACAATCATGCTGTAACAGAGAGACATGCAAGGTGCTATGAGATATCAGAGGCAGAAAGGACTAATGGGGGCAATCAGATCAGGCCTCCTAAGCAGGCAAGTCCAGGTGGAAGGTGGGGGAGAGGAACAAGCTTTCTGGGTAAAAGGCAGCATGTGTAAAGGGGTAAACAGACAAGTTCAACATGACCAGGGGGCTGGGTGAAGAGGAAAGAAGCAGTGAAGACAACTGCCAAGTCTGTGGCTCAGATGCCTGGATGAATGGTAACATTATGCAAAGCAGAGAATACAGGAGCGAGAGGTAGTCTGATAGGAAAGAAAAAAGTTTTGGCCCAGCTGACCCATCTTTAATGGGTCTCTTACTAATAATGTTGATAACAGTAATAATTACAATAGCATGGTGCAGGAGCAGCTACAGTTTGAGAAGCATGTGCAAGCTCATCCTCTAGTCCTTAAAACCACCGTTCACTGTGTCCATTTACAGGGAAATTGAAGCTTAGGGACTACTAGCCCAACAGCACACACCTTGGTGACAGAATAAGGATTCAAACCCAAGCCTTCTTTTTTTTTTTTTTTTTGCGGTACGCGGGCCTCTCACTGTTGTGGCCTCTCCCGTTGCGGAGCACAGGCTCCGGATGTGCAGGCTCAGCGGCCATGGCTCACGGGCCCAGCTGCTCCGCGGCATGTGGGATCTTCCCGGACCGGGGCACGAACCCGTGTCCCCTGCATCGGCAGGCGGACTCTCAACCACTGCGCCACCAGGGAAGCCCCCCAAGCCTTCTTGACCCGAAGCCTGTACTCCTTATATTACACATCAGTATGAACTTGAGAGATACATGTGACCCTTTCCAGTAACAACCAAGAGAACAAACAAGTCTTATATAAGTCACCATGTTGGGCAGAGTCAGGAACAGAAGAATCAGTTGCCAATTTCCATTTAGTTTTCTTGCGTACCATATCCCACATAGAGCAACTCCCCACACTCTAGCTGTTTTACTTCAAGCCCTCAGCACCTAACGTGCTACAGCTAACACCATACTTAATGGTGAGAAACTCAAAGATTTTCCCACTAAGATCAGGTACAAGGCAAGGATGTCCCCTCTCACTACTCCTTTTCAACATCATCTGGAAGTTCTTGCTAATGCAATAAGGCAAGAAAAGGAAATAAAAGGAATGGAAGGCTTCCCTGGTGGCACAGTGGTTAAGAATCCGCCTGCCAATGCAGGGGACATGGATTCGAGCCCTGGTCCAGGAAGATCCCACATGCCATGGAGCAACTGAGCCTGTGCACCACAACTACTGAGCCTGCGCTCTAGAGCCTGCGAGCCACAACTACTGAGCTCGTGTGCCACAACTACTGAAGCCCGTGCACCTAGAGCCCGTGCTCTGCAACAAGAGAAGCCACCGCAATGAGAAGCCCGCAAACTGCAACCAAGAGTAGACCTTGCTCGCCACAACTAGAGAAAGCCTGCGCGCAGCAATGAAGACCCAACACAGCCAAATAAATAAATAAATAATAAATAAATAAATAAATAAACCTTTCTGGAAAAAATTATAGAACCTTATTGAGAGTCATTTTTAAAGAAACAGTAACACTGAATATCTAGAGAGACAGACACTGTGTTCTTGGATAAAACTCACATGATAAAGTAATCAATGTTCTGCAAATGCATCTTCAGAGTCAATGCAATTCCAATCAATATCCCACCAGGTGTGTGTTTGTTTGTTTGTTTGTTTATTTAAGGCTGTGCGCAGGCTTTCTCTAGTTGTGGCGAGTGGGGGCTACTCCTCATTGCGGTGTGCAGGCTTCTCATTGCAGCGGCTTCTCTTGTTGCGGAGCACGGGCTCCAGGCACGTGGGCTTCAGTAGGTGTGGCTCACAGGCTCTAGAGCGCAGGTTCAGTAGTTGTGGCGCACAGGCTTAGTTAGTTGCTCCATGGCATGTGGGATCTTCCCGGACCAGGGCTTGAACCCACGTCCCCTTCATCTTTTCCAATTTTTCCTGGAGACATCCGCAGCCTGGACAATATCAACAGACACTCTCTTCCCTCTGGCATCTGGTTTGGTTCAAGGTTGCATTTGGGCAGGTGACTGTGCTGGAGGCTGGGAAGTCCACGATCAAGGTGCCAGCATGGTCACCTCTGGTGAAGGCTCATTTCCTAGTTCATAGCTGGCACTTCTTTCTGTGTCCTCACCTGGCGGAGAGGCTAATGGTCTTTCTGGAGCCTCTCCACCAGGTTTTTTAAGGTGCCTGACAAGTTGTTCTGTGGAAGAGCAATAGGCCAACGATATTCAAAATACTCCTGAAAAAGAACTAGGTACGGAGACTTGTCTTGTCAGACACCAGGACTTATCCTAATACTGTAGCTAGTAAGGCAATGCTTAGTATTGTGCAAATACCACAGGTGCATACACCCCAAAGTCCAGGAGTGGTTCCATGTACAAATGGAAAACTGAATCATGATAAAGCTGGCATTGCAGATCAGTGAGAAGACAGATTTTTCAATAAATGGTACTAAAACAATTAAAATAAAAATAAGACACAGATCCCTTTCTCACACCAAAATCACATTTCAGGTACGTTAAAGACTTGAAAATAAAGTCAAGACTCTAAAATTTTCAGATAATAATGTTATGATTCCAAGTGAGGAAAGGTTTTTTTAAAGAGACAAAGTATAAATTTAAAGGAAAATAATAAATTCAACTATACTAAAATGAAGAGCATATGTTCAACAGAAGAAAACATAAAGAGTGTGAAGGCAAGCCCAAACTGGGAGAACACATTTGCAACCCACATAACTGACCAAGGAGCATGGTAGCCAGGATATATATAAAGAACTCTGACGATTAGTGAGAAAAAGACAGAAAATGTAATAGAAAATGGGCCAAAGATTTGAACCAGCACTTCACAGAAGAGCACGAATGACTGATAAACATATGAAAATATGCTGAACTTCATTAATAATCTGGGAAAAGCAAATTAAAATCATGGTGAGAGGGAATTCCCTGGTGGTCCAGTGGTTAGGACTCTGCGCTTTCACTGCCGAGGACCCAGGTTCAATCCCTGTTCGGGGAACTAAAATTCTGCAAGCCATGCAGCGCGGCCAAAAAAAAAAAACCATGGTGAGAATAGATTTCACATTCACCAGATTGGCAAAAATTAAAAGTCTGACAATATATCACCTTGTCAAGGAAGCAGATACACTGCTGGTGAATGTTTGTAAATTACTACAACTACTATGGAAAAACTGGGCATTACCTAGTAAAGTTGAAAAGTACAAATCTTTTGACCCAAACTTTTCACATCTCAAATATACCCTACAGTTAACTCATTCACAGGCAGACAAAAGTTCACAGCAGCCTTGTTTGTAAAAGCAAAAACCAGAAACACCTTAATGCCCACTGTCAATAAAATGGATAAATGAATTTTAGTAACTTCATACTACACAGTTGAGAAAAGATTAAATTATAGCGGCATGTGTCCATATGAATGTGTCTCAGAATACAACCTTGAGCACAGAAAGGTAGCATTAGAAGAATACCTACAGCACTTCATTTATATAATGTTAACAAGCATGATAAATGAAAGAAGCTACTGTTTAGGGATAAAATTATAAAGCGAAGCTAGGAAGTGCAGTAATTTCTAGATAAGCTTACTTAAGGTAAAAAGAATGTGATGGAAGAGTAAAGGGCACACCAGGAATCTCAAAGGTAAACATACTGTCCTTTTTCTTAACCTGTGGGGTAGTAGCTACATGGCAGTTCATTAGCTTGTTACACTATTCACCTTACTTATGTTTCATAAATATTATTTCATATCTACTCAATATTAACAAGGACAACAAAGAAAAGGACTCTAAACTCATCATCTTTATGAGAAAACTGACCTTCCTTTAGTGCTATCTTAGCCTGATGACTGACAGCATCAGCCACTCAGGTGCTTAAGCCAGAAACCCAGAAATCACCCCAAACACCTCCTTTCCTCTTGCTCCTCTCCTGTATTTACCACATTACCAAGTGGGTCCGTCTCCTCACGATTTCTTAAATTTGTCTCCTCCCCCATCATTTCCACCCCGACTCTTGTCAAAGTCACCGTCTAATGCCTGCACAACTGCAATAGCCTCCTAACTGGAAACCCTTTCAATGTTTCCTCTAACAGCCACAGTAATCCTCTCCCTCACTCTGTGTTACCCTTCCAGCCTTCTTCCACTTCCTTGAAGGCGCTACTCCCTTTACTGCCTGTTTCTGGGTTTATTTTTCATACTATTTCCTATTTAAAATTCTCTGCCATCATTCCTACCCTCACAAGCTTCAGTAGTTCATCTCAGTTCAAGTGTTACTTCCTCAAGGAAAGTGTTCTACGACTCCAACGCTAGATCTGATTTGATGCCCTCTTACAGGATCTCACAGCATCCTGTGGTTTTCCTTCACAGCAACACATCATAGTTTGTAATTATATATCTATGTGATTATTGATTAATGTCTCACTTCCCCTCTAGACTAAATTCCACAAGGGCAACGGTGATATCTGTTTTGCTCACCCTAGTATTTCTAACACCCAGCACAGAGCACAGAGCTTGACACATAATAAAACTCAAATTATATTTTTAGAATGAATGAGGGAACTCAGTGGGACCAGAGTCTGGAAAATTACCTTTTCCAATTATGAAATGGATGGATGGTTCTAATATCAAACGGTCCTGTGAATCCCAAAGTTTTGTGTCTGTTATTCTGTCCAACCGCCCCCCCCCAAAAAAATGTATTCTATACCCTTCTGTCTTCTCTGCTTCCTGCTGTCCTACCCATCCTTGAAATTCCAGTTCCTCCAGGAACAGTTCCTTGACTCCTGCACTGGAAATGCACTCTCCCTATGGCATATCCTTTGCATTTGAAAAATCCGTTTCACTTATTTGGGACTTACTGAGTTGTGAACTTTTTTCTTGTCAAACAGGAGGTTTGAGTTCTATCATGAAACAGTAGGCCTCTGAGACAAAACACTATAGGTGTCTAGATCTATTTACTGGGTGCTCCTTGTTGTGAGTCAACAAAGCCCTGTGGAACAAGCATGAGCTTTGGAGTAAGACTTGGGTTAGAATTCAGCTCTGTCACTTACTGTATAACTTTGAACAAGGTATATGACCTCTCTCGGCTTCTATTTAGGTATCTGTAAGTATGCTTATAGCTAGAAGGGGTATATAGACTTCTCTTTTACACAAATCTTACTGTACTGTAGTAATACTGTAAGTCTCTGGTGCACTTGAGATTAGTGGTTCTCAGGGGATGAGGGTAGGGTTTTTGGTACCACCTATTAGGGGGTGTTTTGTCTATATGAGGATAAGGGCTGGCTTGTCAATGCCTGAAGGATGCTGCTGGCATTCAGAACACAGGGGCCAGGAAAACTAAATGTCCTGCAATGCATGGGACAATCATACAGTACATACTGTTCTGCTCAAAATGGTAAGGAACACACCACTGAGAAACACTACAGTCAATAATGATATTATTATTGTTCACCCTTATATTCTCAGAATTTAGCACAGGCCTAGAGTAGAAGGGCAAAAAATGTATGTTAGCCAAACAAAAAAAACGAACAGTAATGATATCATTTATGTGCATTTGAACAAATCGGATTAGAGCCACGTATGTCAAAGGTACAAGCCTAGCCACGTCAACCACCGCTGTTGTGTCTTCTTGTGCTCAAGGTCCATGACATAGTAGTTTACAAGTTTGAGCAGATCAAATGGTGTGCTTTGACAGTTCCTGTCAGGACAATACTGACCTCTTCTGTTTAGCAATCCTTGCTCAACTACATGGCCCCTTCCATCTGGATGCAGCCTGGCTACACCAGGAACTAGGGCAATGTGGACTGCATGAGAAACAGAACTTTCACCAGCCACCCTGAGGCGAAAATTTCTGACAGATATAGTTTTTACCCCATTCATGAATCCTAGCAACTTGGGTCCACTCCTAGTCCTCTACTTACCTTTTGCAAATCAATGGAAAGTTGCTGAATGAAGGCTTGGAGTTCCTGTTCCTTCTGCTCCAGGGCTGTGATCTTATTTTCTGCACCTGTTTTTGAAGCTGTCACATGATCTCTTTATTGAAAGAAAGCAGACAATGAACAAATTTGGATATCCCACCTAAGACACATTCTTCCACAGGAAAAACACAGATGGTTCTTTACATGTCAGGGCTGCAAACATTAGCCTTGTGAAGATTATCAGTGGAAAAGACTCCTTCACTCTCTCTGAAGCAGAAGGCCCAAGAGAAAAATTCCACTCAGGTTTAGGCAAGAAATCCTGATCTACCTTTGGCTATTCAATAGCTTAGCAACTCTAAAACATACTAAAGTGCTCGGCAGGGTTGGAGTGTCTGAGCCTAGGCAGGTGAAGGGGAATGAGGGTTTGGAGGAGGTAGGGGGATCCTAAAGCCCTAGGCAGGTAAGGATAAGTCCAGAAGACTTTGCCAGAATTAAGATCAGGAAGTGCTACAGTGAGCAATGGGGAAAGACAGGTTGGCTGTAACCAGAGCTACACTAACACCGCTACCCATGTGCCCCACAGACCAAGCAAGAACCTCTGCTCTTCCAGCGTTGAGTAGTTTCTCTGAAGCTCTTCTATCTTCTGGCTTAAGTCTGCTGACATCTGGTTGGAGATCATCAACTCCTCCTGGGTGCGGCTAAGTTCTCTGGTACATGCTTCCAGTTCTTGCTCCATTTTCCCCAAACTTTCTTCTTTTTTTAAAAGCTGATACAAAGATAGAAAGTTTCACTGGACCACTACTAAGAAATACACCTGTAAAAAAATCTGGACAAGGGCTTCCCTGATGGTCCAGTGGTTAAGAATCTGCCTTCCAATGCAGGGGACGCAGTTCAATCCCTGGTCAGGGAATATCCCACAGGCCACGGGGCAACTAAGCCCACATGCCCCAACTACTGAGCCTGCGCATCTCAACTAGAGAGCCCACGTGCTGCAAACTACGGAGCCCATGCGCTCTGGAGCCTGCATGCCGCAACTACAGAGCCCACGTGCCCTGGAGCCCACATGCCACAACTAGAGAGAAGCCCGCATGTTGCAGTGAAGAGCCAGCGCGATTTGGAGCCCGCGCACCACAACGAGAGAGAAGCCCACATGTCACAATGAAGATGCCGCAACTAAGACCCAATGCAGCCAAAAATAATAAAAATAAAATAAATAAATTAAAAATAAAATCTGGGACTTCCCTGGTGGTGCAGTGGTTAAGAATCCGCCTGCCAATGCAGGGGACAGGGGTTCGATCCCTGGTCTGGGAAGATCCCACGTGCTGCGGAGCAACTAAGCCCATGCGCCACAACTACTGAGCCTGCGCTCTAGAGCTCGCGAGCCACAACTACTGAAGCTCGCACACCTAGAGCCCATGTTCTGCAATAAGAGAAGCCACTGCAACGATAAGTCCGCGCACCACAACGAAGAGTAGCCCCCGGGCTTCCCTGGTGGCGCAGTGGTTGAGAGTCCGCCTGCCGATGCAGGGGACACGGGTTCATGCCCTGGTCCGGGAAGATCCCACATGCCACGGAGCGGCTGGGCCTGTGAGCCATGGCCGCTGAGCCTGCGCGTCCGGAGCCTGTGCTCCGCAACGGGAGAGGCCACAACAGTGACAGGCCCGCGTACCACAAAAAAAAAAAAAAAAAAAAGAGTAGCCCCCGCTCGCCGCAACTAGAGAAAGCCCGCATGTAGCAACAAAGACCCAAGGCAGCCAAAAATAAATAAATTAATAAATTACAAAAAATCTGGACCAATAAGGCAAGCTTTCATAACATTTTTGTGAGCTTAGAAGGGGTCTCATATGCCCAGTAGTTTAAAAAGAAAAAGGAAATACATTTCAAACAGAACTTTTCCACTTTAACAAACTGAAAAACATAGAAATATGATTAGTATCAAAGACAACTAAGGTATGCTTATCAGCAGTTAGAGAGTGATGACTAGCAAAATCATCTATTCAGGATTTAGCTTCTAAAACAAAAACGCGTACCATGTGCTTTACTTTACTTAGTTCCTGCTGCTGGAACCCCTCTAATTCATCCATTTCATCTCTCCTTTGGAAAAGATTCAAACTCTGGTTCTTCATTTCCTGTAACTGAGCTGTCAGAAACCTTTTATCCTATGCAAAAGAAGATATCAGCTCAGGCAACTAGGACATTAGAAATCCGTATTATACAAGCAGAATTCTTAATAAAGGAAAATCTGAAGACAATTTCTTATCAGTAGCAATAATACATTGATAATGGGAAGCTTTACGGTAATTATTTACAAAATTATCTATAAATTCTTTAACTTAGAAATAAATATGTTTTAAATGATAGTTGTGAAAAGGGGAACAAGAGCAACAATTACTTAACACTTGAAAAGTGCTTAAGTTTGATTAGCAATTGCAGACATCCATTTTACATGTCTATCTCAATGACACACTGAACTGGCTGAATAACATGAATAACTGGAACAAGACTGAATGCTCTTAAAAAATTAGATGCATTTAAGTAGAACTAATTTTGGTTAGTAAGTTCAGATAGCAAGTCAACAAAAATTAGACATGACTGGTGTCAGAAGGTTACAATTTACTAAATAATAGCTTCCCGAGATGGATTCTCTTCAGGACAAACCCTGCTGTCACAGTTTCCAATTCTTGATTAGAAAGAAATTAAAACGGGGGGGGGAGGGGTGGTGGGACTGGGAGATTGGGATTGACATATATACACTAATATGTACAAAATGGATAACTAATAAGGACCTGCTGTATAAAAAATAAATTTAAAAAAAATTTAAAAAAAAGAACTTGCTGTATAAAAAAATTAAACAAAAAAAAAGAAATTGAAACAGTCTAAAAATAACACTTCCAAAAATCACAGTGGCTTAAAAGACCTACAAAGATGCCTCATTACGCTTTCCTGGTCTAAAATATTTCCCAACCTCTCCTGCGGTGGGGTGGGGGGACGGAGAGAAAAGATCTTAGTGAACTGAAGTAGATTTTATTTAGTTCAGTCCTATATGGATTCCCCCTTTACCATAATTTTAAAAGATGAAAAAATAGTCCAATGAGAATTCAACTGCTACAATCTTAAGAGTTTCTTTCAAGATAAGAAAACTTTAACCTAACCCATACCTTCATATTTAAGAAGACCATAATTAACACCATGTTTAGATATATTTTTTTTAAGCACAAGTTTCTTTGGGACATAGCTTGACTTTTCTGTAATTCTTTCCTTATGTAAATACGTTAAGGCATTCTGATAGCTTGGGTAATCAGATTTCTACAGAACACACAAAGAAAATCGCTGGTTTAACTTCGTGTTTCATCCCAAGAATGGAGCAATAATAAAACTCATCTGTTTAATAAAATTAACAGTAAATATATTTTACAACAGAATATATCAATCTAAGAAATAATTTTCTGGACTTCCCTGGCAGTCCAGCGGTTAGGACTCTGTGCTCCCAATGCAGGGGGCATGGGTTCGATCCCTGGTTGGGGAACTAAGATCCTGCATGCCACATGGTGCGGCAAAAAAAAAAAAATAGAAAAAGAAATAATTTTCTACCATAAAGAGTAACTTAGGAGTACTCAATGAAAACAAGGAATGAATTAGGAAGCAGCACATAATGTGGGCTGAGCAAATTGACTATTGATTATTTTAAATTAAAATGTCTTTCTAATTGTAGGTGTGAAATTTCATCTTCCTGTTCATGTCTGGGAGCCAGGAATACATTACATAAGGCACCTACACAGTGTTACACAAGCTATGGTGCTGGAATAATCAATTCTCCTCATCTGTGTCTAGCTAAGAGGTTCTCTTATCTACTCAATGCTGAGCCTTCAGAAATGCCCTCCTTCCCCACTGCATCCTCAAAAATTATTCCTAATGTTACCATTGTGTCAATCAGAGCCCCAGCAAGAAACAGACTCAAAGTAGATATTCTGCAGACAGTCTAATAAAGGGACTTTTCAAAGCTGTGGGTGGGGTAAGAAAACCCAAAAGAGATGATGTGCTAGTAACAGCTGGGCATAAAGGGGCAAAGGGATAAATAGGTTACAAGAAACACAAAAAGAGAAACTCTATCAGAGGGTGAACCAAAGGTCCAGCTGAAGCTGTGACCTTGGGCCATGGGATGCATCCAAACTGAAGGGATCTCACATGGAGATGGCTGAGGGAATAAACTTCCTGACCACACTCTTCCACACATAGTTCTTTTTGTGTTCCCCACAGGCACACTTAATTAGAAGCCAGAGGGCAATGGAGCCCTGCTGATGCATTCCCTATCAGCCTTCAGATACACAGAGAAAGGTATGAGAGGAGGTGGAGAGTGTATCTGGAGGGGAAAACAAAAGATATCCAGTACACCCACCAAGAAAAAGGAAGACATGAGCTTTCTAAATCAGAGTCTAATCACCCAGTGCCCTGCTTCCAAGAGGTGGTATAGCCATCAGTGTACTAGGTACTGAAGACAGCATTTTCCAAGCCCCAGAGAAGAGGCCAACATTCACAATGAGACAAAAACAAAGATGAACTAACCTTTTCAAGCTGATCCATTTTTTCTGACCATTCCTAAAACAAAACAATAAAAAAGTACAGTTTCCAGGGAAGAGTATCAATAAAATCAAGATCTTAAGAAAACAAAATAACCCTCTCCACCCAAAGCAGCCAATCAACCAAACAAAACAGCAAATATAAAGAAAGCCAAGAGTCCTAAAAGGAAAAGAAAATGAACTTTATATAAAATTCTAAAGCACATATATAAGCCTGCAAATTTTTACTAAGCAGAGCACCCAAACAAGGCTGTATCTGATGTTCTGATGCAGTTTTCAGCTTATTCCTGAGGGTTTTTCTATGAGTACTATTAATATTTCTTGGGAGTGGGTAGCTGGGACCAGCTGTGTTGGTAATTCCACAACTGCTATATAAAAATTAATTTACTGAAAAACAGGCGGGGGGCAGGGGTTGTCTTCAGCAGCCCCCGATCATTATTTTCCTTCTCATTTTCACTTTACCAATATCTTTTATGCCATCTGATAAAAGTTAAAGGAGAAGGGATGACGCCCCTTACTCACCAATCACAGAAGAGGGGAAAAAATAACCACTGGTACAAAAGGCTATATCCCAACTGCCTACAATCAGAGTCCACCAATTTTAGATTATCTCTTCATTTATATACATTCATATCACAGTTATTCACTAATTATTGGTGAATGATTTTTTTTTCTGGCTAGTAAATGTCTGACATGACTAATACACACTGTAAAACAAGTCAACCAACCACCCTACCTACTGCAGATGAAATAATGTATTTTCTTAAAATGAAATGTAATATAATAAATTGACCCTACCTTAATAAATCAGAATTATCATTACAGTATTTTGATGCTTATCTTAAATTTAAAATGCCATTGAACAAAATATACTTTATAATTATTGTAACAGCCAGTAATAGTATTAGTTTCTTATTGTCATTCATTCAGCATCTTTCAATGGATGGTTCTACTGAGATTACAGAAGTTCCTCTCAGTCTAGTTGGCTGGGGATGAGGAAACTTGGGACAGAGGTTGTAAGAACTATGTACTCCATGGATGATCACTAGCTTGATAGCACCTTCTCCACTATAAAGGCAAGTGTTTTGGGACTAGGCTTTCAGACAGGTTTTTGGAGGGCAGAGACCTTTTTCCTTATCTTGGGGTTCACCACCAGATTACGAACACACTACTTTCCTCTCCATTTTACAAAGTTATACAGTTTGGAAAATGATACTCTCACATTATGGACACATTTCATGATTATAACTGTAAAGTTCCTTAATAATTTCCCACCCTAAGGCCAAATGAAATCTCAAAGATCTTATATAGCATTCCTTTTCTCCTGGGTTGTAAATATCTTCTACCAGGTTTATGGCATGATTTTTGAAATCATGTCACTAAGTGAAATCTTTCCACCAGCCTTGGGCAGTGCCACATATAAAATACCTGGTCCTTTCTGGCTAATGCCAAAGCCAGTCCTTCTGCCATTTTGGCTCTGTTGGCTTGGAATGTCTCATTCTGCTCTTGAAATTTCCGCATGGAAGCTGTTAACAAAGAGGCTCTATTTGAGATATGGAGATATTTCAGAAACAGCATGTCAAATAGCCCATGTGATTACTTTACAACTGTCACCTAACAAAAAAGGCCAAGGTCACAGAGTGGATTATGAGACTGGGAAAAACCTGACCCATCTTGACTTTCCCAGAATCTTTTGCCCTTAGTAATAGACCACAGTTTTGTTTTAGCTTGTTTCCAATTGTTCTTGGTTTTTTGTTATAGTCAAGTATATACATTTAGGAAGATGCCAAAGGGTAACTTTTTAAATGATACAGTGATAGAACACTGAGTTAGGTAGGTTGCCAGAAAACACCAATGCTATTGCTAAGTGATGGCTACTACTACTTTATCAGAATTAAAACAAAAAGTCAAAACAAAAAACCCTTTCTTCCACTTTATTTTCCTCAAAAAAATTTTTTTAGTATATATTATATCAACAAAAAATAACCTTCTACTTCTGTTAGCATCTTTCTTGGATTGAACCCAAAGGAGAACATATGATTTAGGGTAAACTAAACAAAATCTATGTTCTATTGTTAGAGGAGTGATGACAGATAGAGATTTTCCCCAGTTCTTGAACAAAGCAGCAATGAAGCTATGGCTAGAACCAAAGTTTCTTAATGTAGGCCCAAGGACCAGGCACTTGATTTTACTAAAAACTAAGGGCAGCCAATAAACCAGCCAACTGGATGAGATACATAATAACCTTCTCCTAAGAAGCATGCCCATAAAGCAACATAAGGATGAACTGTATGCTTATAACTATCAGATAAATGTTATATCAACTTGATTAAGAAGTACACTACTTATAAAATAAAGATCTGGGCTATGATGAAGGACAAACTTAACCATACGCTATTGTTTCATTTCAAAAAACTAAACCCTGGAAAGATTGAAAAAAGCAGGAAAAAAAATACGTACAATCCTGGTGTTTTTCTAATGCAATTTCAAGCTTCTCTTTTATCTTCTGCAAGTTTCGGACCTGTTCAGCATAGTCTTGGGTGAGGAGGGTGACGCACATACCAGGAATGGACAAACATCAGGAAAGGAAGTTAATTAAACAAAAAAAAATGAATGAAAATGATGATGATTTTCTCAACCTGAAAACCATTCCTGTTAAGGAAAGCTGGGCAGACAGCCTCCCATTAACAATGAACAACACAGGCAAACAGGTATAGTACAAACTACCCACAGTGTAAATGGTGAATACAAACAGGCAGATTTGTTTAGCCTTGAGAGAGAACAAGAACTGGGCCTGGTCTGGTCATCAGAAATGCCCCGCCATGAAAACCACTATTATCTCATTACTTAATTTCAAATCTCAGTTTCACCTTCCTTTCCAGTCTTAGCAGTAGGGTAGATCAAAGGGAATTCACTGAACAGCTCACTTAGAGTCCATACAACTGAGTGACAGTGGTTAGGGCAATAGCAAACATCTTACCACAGTATTGCCTTTGCAATAAAAGTACTTAATTCTCTAGAAAAGTCAGCTTCCTTTCTACACAGAACTGAGCTGCCTATGACACATTAAAGGTGAAAGTCAGAATTAATTACCTTGGTAGCCAAAGAAGATAGTATGGTATAGTGGAAAAGTAGACAGGCTTTAGTTCAAATCCCAACTCTGTCAGTCCTTAGCTGAGAGACCTTAAGCAAATTATTGATCCTAAGTATTAGTTTCTTCATTTATGAAATGATATTAATTTATCTACCTCAAAGGATGTATTAGATAATAAACTAAATGTTCTATATGCCTTAATTATAAGACAAACTAAGTGCTTTAAGCACGTTGCACACAATGCTCAATAAAGGGTAGCTGATACTGTGGTTGTTGTTATTATTCATACTGAGCCTGTAGGTAAATACCCAGGACATAAGTGGGCTTAATAAATGTCAGTCCTCTTCCCTGTCCCTCCTCTAACATCAGTCAAGCCCAAACTATTTAGGGAAGATCCATATTACCTTAGAGCTTTCTCCCCAACACTGAGCTCACTTAGAGTCCATACAACTGAGTGACAGTGGTTAGGGCAATAGCAAACATCTTACCACAGTATTGCCTTTGCAATAAAAGTACTTAATTCTCTAGAAAAGTCAGCTTCCTTTCTACACAGAACTGAGCTGCCTATGACACATTAAAGGTGAAAGTCAGAATTAATTACCTTGGTAGCCAAAGAAGATAGTATGGTATAGTGGAAAAGTAGACAGGCTTTAGTTCAAATCCCAACTCTGTCAGTCCTTAGCTGAGAGACCTTAAGCAAATTATTGATCCTAAGTATTAGTTTCTTCATTTATGAAATGATATTAATTTATCTACCTCAAAGGATGTATTAGATAATAAACTAAATGTTCTATATGCCTTAATTATAAGACAAACTAAGTGCTTTAAGCACGTTGCACACAATGCTCAATAAAGGGTAGCTGATACTGTGGTTGTTGTTATTATTCATACTGAGCCTGTAGGTAAATACCCAGGACATAAGTGGGCTTAATAAATGTCAGTCCTCTTCCCTGTCCCTCCTCTAACATCAGTCAAGCCCAAACTATTTAGGGAAGATCCATATTACCTTAGAGCTTTCTCCCCAACACTGAACAAATATAAAGTTACTTCACCTCTGTTACTGGTATTACTTACAGGTAGGGGTAACAGGATAATAACAATTGAGTTTAAAGCAGACTGTAGTGGTTTGGATCCCAGCTCTACCACCTACTACCTCTGTGACCTTAATGTCACTAAGTCTTGTTAGGCTAGAGTGAGAACAAAATGAGATAATGGACTATCTAGGAGCTGTGAGTTATACTATGTACCTTTGATAATTACACAAACACAAATATTTCACATACAACTTGGTGAATTTTGTAGTCTGTTGCTTTCATTACAGTAAAATGGGCATAAGGCCAAAGGACAAAAACAAACACAGAAGTCATTGACCACTTCACAGGCTGAAGCTTTCAAAATGTATCTACTGGCAGAAACCAAAATAAGAACTCACAACTCTACCACAAATATGCCCTGCTCAGGCAAAGAATATAATAGGAGTGGTGTACATCGTAAACTGCACATAAAAGACATAATGAGAGTTATAGCTTCTATACAGGTGCTGAAGTTAGAAATACCACTGAAAAGTAGCCCAAAGACCCAGAAAGACATTACACAGGTGATATGTATCTGTAGCAAGTGGCAACGTAGCACCAAACCCTGTCTGGTGCTGAAGAATCCAACATCTGTTGGCCATTCCCTAAAAATGCTATCTCCTAACCCTCTCCACCTGAAAGCAAGCTAGGCTAACAGATGAAAGATAGTTAAATCTACATATACTTTTAATACCTTTTATATCCACGGCTAGAAATCTCAGGAGCAGAAAAACGTCAGTTTGTTTTTTTTTTTTAACTTTAAAACTCAGTTTTGAATTTACACTATTCAGTACACTAACAAAAGAAGGGATTAAAGGGGGTACAAGTTGCTCCTTTTTGACTGAGAATATCAAAATATGTCAAAATAACTGTAAGGTTATGCTGTTTGGCTTTTTTATAGGCAAAGAGGGTCAGGCAAGGCAAGTTTCCTTTGCTTCTTATGAGTTCTTAGACATACCAGAAAGCCTGGCCTCTAATTTCCGTATCTGTTCATTCCTTCTCAAAAGCTGGGATGAAAGATCTTCTCTGGAGCTGCTTCCATCAGACGCCTGTTGAGACAGATATAAGAGGTTGTATTCATACCTGGATTTTTAGCAGCGTGAGACCACAATATTCAATCAGAAAGCAACAACTCTTATTTTAGGTTTGGTTACACTTTAAGTGATAACTGAAAAGTTTCTCTAACTATAAAGTAGAAGCAACACTATCTCCATGTGTAATGTGAGGAGATACAAGATGCAAAACAGATAAATTGTGTGTGTGTGTGTGTGTGTGTGTGTGTATGCGCGCACACACACTACTGGAATACACAGTGGTAAACAAATCCATTATGATCATATTACACCAAGTACATAATACAAAAAAATATATTTTCAGATAAAAAAGTAAAGCACTTTATTTTTCCAAAGGTAAAATCCTGAGGTAAAGGGAAGAAGGTTCTTTAGCAAGGGATCAAAGAAAGGCTGGTTGGTCTGTGATGAAGAACCTATCACTGACATTGATAAAGTTTCAGTATCTTCATCTATAAAACAAAGGGGTATCAATCTATAGCTCTAAAATGCATCAAAAACTTTTGCAGATAATATACATTCAGTAAATCCCTGTATTAATGAGACATCAAATTTTCCCAATAATTTGGATTATCTTAAAACATGTGCACTACTACTACTTTGGGCACTGCTTACTACTGCTAATAAATACATCACTTTATCTTTCTACTTTTGATTATAAAATTTTAAAAATACAGAAGAGTAAGGAGGGTGGTTTAATGAACACTCTCTCTCGACTTTAACAACTGCTGATTTTTCCCATATTTGCTTCATCAATTTTTATTCTACTATAGTACTTCAAATAGCAGACATTGACATTTCATCCTAAACATTTTGATAAACATTTCTAAAATATAAGGACATTTTCCTTTATAGCCACAATGCCATTATTATACCTAACAAAATTAAAAATAATAGTATCTAATATCCAGTCTTCAGTCTTCCCCATTTACTGCCAAAATGTATTTAAAGGTGGTTGAACAACTCATTTTAAATATTCATTTACCCACTGAGCCACTTACTTGTCCATTATGGAGGGTATAGTTAAAAGGGAGTCTCAGGAGGCGGAAGGCCCAGGTTAAAGTTCCATCTTCACCATTAACAAACTACAAGAACTTGGACCAATTACTTAACTTCTCTGTGCACTGGTTTCGTCACATGTAAAATGTAACAAACATAATCTACGTCACAAAGCTGTGATGAGGATTAAATAAATCAATACTTGTCAGGTCTTGAAAACACAGCCTGGCACGTAAGTAACTTTAATACGTGTCATCTGTTAGTAGTACAAGTTATGATTATTACTGTCAGTGAGACATCTATTCTTAGCACTGTGCTAAGCACTGGGAACAGTGGTGAAACGGAGTCCCGATCTAAGACAGCAGCAGCTGCAGCAACTACGAATTACGAAGTGCTTATTAAGAGCCAGGCACCATACTAAGTGTTTTATATACTATGCAGAAAAGAGTTAACATCCCAGGCCTGAGACTGCTATCCTTGGCAAGGCCTGCTTGTAAGGTGAGCCCTTGGCTGGCCTGTGGGAACTTAGATTTTACAAGGGTTCTCACCATTCCTGATAAGAATGGCTCACTGTACCTAAACTAATTGTGCCAAAAATATGGTTTATATGCTGAACACCTGTTTTCGTTCTGGGAGTCTGGAATTTTGGTAAATGCTAGGCAGAGGGTGCCTATATGACTAGCCTCCAGTAAAATTCCTGGGCACTGAGTCTCTAATGAGCTTCCTTGATAGACAACATTTTATCCTGTGTTGTCACAATTCCTTGCTGAGGGAAATAAGTGTGCCCTATGCAACTCCACTGGGAGAGGACTCTTGGAAGCCTGTGCCTGGTTTCCTCCAGACTTTGTTCATGCACCTTTTCCCTTTGCTAATTTTGCCTTGTAGTAAATGTTTTCACTGTGATAAATGATAGCAGTGAGTAAAACTATATGCTGAGTCCTGTGAGTTCTTCTAATGAATAATCGAACCTAGGGGAGAACCTTGCCTGCCCACCCTGCCCCAACACACATACTTTAATAAAGACAGGTATAGTTCCTATCTCCATTTTATAGATGTGGAAATTAAGGCACAGAAAAGTGACAAAAAATTTGCCCAAGGTCACACAATAACGATGAAAGAGGAATCAAATCCAGGTCTACCTCCATAACCTGGCCTGAGTTCCTAACTGTTACTCGACTGCCTCTCATGAAGCTCCCAGTTTAGTGGGAGAGCCAAACAAGCAAATCATCAACAACAATGCAGTGTAACAGGTGATATTACAGAGGATATAGGAGACAAGGGACCAAATTCAGCCAGTAGGGATAAAGAGTAGAGGGGGTGAGATGGGCAGGTCGGGTCAAGGGGGCTTCCTGGAAGTAACATGTGAGCCAAGTCTTGAAGGATGCACACAAGTATGTCAGAGGAATTCAGAAGTGAGAGGAGGACATAGGAGAAATTCCAGAGACAGGAGACAGAATATGCAAACATTTGTAGGTATGGTGGAAAGTTGTCCATTCCATAAAGTACATTAAGTTCAATGTACAATGGCTGGAGCACAGGGTATAGGAAAGCAGAATGAGATAACGGCAGGATGGGTTAGCTGTGACAAGACCACCGAGGTTCACCTTATACTACAATAAAGACTTTGCACTTCATCCTGCAGATGATGCGGAAGCCACTGAGGAGTTTCAAGCACTGGACAGACATGAACAGGTCCGCTCTGGGGAGTTACTGGAGCCAGGGAGCCCAGAGAGGCTACCACATTTGTCCACGAAAGAAAGACAGCCTGAAATAAAATGGAAGTAAAATGTACTACTAGTAAAGGGAGTACAAAGGGTAAGTTTGAGTCAGGAGATGGAAGCCAAAATACTTGCTGACTAACTGGACACCAAGAAGTGAAGAAGTGAAGAGTCTAAAATGTCTCCAAGGTTTCTTGCTGGTGACTTGGGGGATGAAGGTGCACATGTGGAAATGGAGTTAATGAATTCAGTTTTGTTCATGTTAGAATTTGAGATACCAGAGGAAAGGCACCTGGTTGGAGAAATATATGCAATGGGATATAAAGGTCTGGAGATAGGGAGTGAAGATCAGAATGTATACATAAATAAGTTGAAACAGATAACTTTAGAAGTCACACAGCAAAGTATTTCCTGAATTCAGGCCAATCTCCATATCTGGAATACATTCAAGATGAGACACTTCACTTAGCAAGTCAGCGTGAAGGCAAAGCAAGTACTTCTGCCACAGAGCTCAGCATTAAAACTATGTCCTTCAGCCTGGTGATCAAACGTGCATTTATATTTCCTGTTAAATACAGGAGCCAATGATAATTTAGATCTGGTCATCTATTGTTCCACCCCAATAACCTAATAGCTTCTGCCACGTAATCTGACCTGAACAGATAGTATAAGAAAGGAGGACTCATCTGACCATGGAAACAACTCAAGTATCTATCACTAGTAGAAGACAGAGGCAAATTGTGGCCTTTTCAAATGCTGGAATTTTATACAGCAGTAAAAATAAATGAATCACCTACAGTGTACCATTTTTATAAAGTTTGAAAACAAGCAACATTAAACAACAGATTGTTTATGAATATATATGTATCTGGTAGGATATTTTAAAAAGCAAAGGACTGATACACACAAACTTTTGGACAGGTTACCTGAAGGGGCGGAAAGGGAAGGGAACCAAGAAGGAGCAAACAAGTGGCTTTGACGGTACCGATAATGTTCTAGTTCTCTGTATAGGTGACAGATTTAACAAGCATTCATTTTATTTTTATGCCTTATACTTTACACTTACATTACATACATTCTTTTACATATATCAAGCATTATAAATAACTTCTTTTAAGTTATCTAACTTTAAGAAGATCCTGTCATATGCCACCGACCCGATTTTAATCCTAAGGCATGACACTTACCTAACACAGCAGCATCCTCAAATCTTTCCAGCTACAAAGGTATTTTACAAATAAGGGACACAATGCAGCCATCAGTGCAATCTTTTCATCAATTTTCCCACTAAAATAGTGCTAATTCCCTGGCTAATTCCACACCAAACTCACAGACCTCGCTAAGCAACAATGACTTAGAGTGTACATATGTGCAGACACAACAAGCCAAAGTATTTTGAGAAACGAAATGTAAAAGAAGATGCACAAGGTATATAGATGGAAAAAGAGTACAAGAGGACAATGTAGAGAATATGCAAAGGGACCCACGAAAAATAAGAAAAAAAATAGAAAAGCACCTCAGAGCAAGAAGAATCAGATATAAACTACAAATAATCTTGCAATTTTAAAAGAAAATACTTATTGGAGGGACTTCCCTGGTGGTCCAGTGGCTAAAGGCTCCATGCTGCCAATGCAGGGGGCCCAGGTTCGATCCCTGGTCAGAGAACTAGATCCCACATGCTGCAACTGAGAGTTCCCATGCTGCAACTCAAGATCCCGCATGCTGCAACTCAAGATCCTGCGTGCCGCAACAAAGATCCCAAGGGCCGCAACTAAGACCCAGAGCAGCCAAATAAATACATAAATATCTAAAAATATATATATATATAAAAACGGCTATTACAAAATAATAATAATTTATTGCAAAGATTCCCTGAAATATTATTTTAAAAATACAATGAGGCTGTACCAAACATTAAAAACTAGAGAAGATACTTACAAAGTCATCTCCTGAGTCAGCTCCCATGGAGGCAACCGATTCCTTGCTCACTGATCGTGGGATCCTAGTAGCACCTCCTGGCCTCTGAGCGACAGCAGTCTCTTCTGCAATTTTCTTCTTTAGTTTTGCAAACATTTTGCTGTGTGGCTATCCTGCACTGATGGCCAGGTCTTGAACCCCCAATAGTCGTTAGGCCAGCAACCAGGAATTCCGAGACAGGTGCCTAAAAAGTTCCAGATATCCAAACTAACTGCATTCCCACTGAAATGTGGGCCAAAGGCTTGTGGCAATAGCGTATCTATAAATCAGATGAAAGAGCGCTCTAAGTTAAACACCAGAGAAATTTCACATCTGGGTTGTTTTGTTAAGCTTCAGGTTTCAAGATTAAGTTTCATAAGTTTACATGCACACTTACTAGAACACAATTACTAAACATCTGAAAAGCACTCAGGTGCTACAGATGCATGTACAGATAAGGAAATCCAGTCTCAAGGAGGTGAAGTAATCTGCCAAAGATTGTGTGGCTAAACGCAGCGCTGGCATTTGAACCCAGGACTCTGACTCACAAGTCCTTACTCTTTTTTTTTTTTTTAAATTACACCACATTGGCTGTGGCATGTAACACATCAAGTAAAATTTCCCACGGCAAACATTAACATAATGCTTCTGAATCCTTCCCCCAATAATATTAAGTTCAACTACAGTTTAGACAAAAACATGTAACTCAATACAGGGAGAAGGTATAATGTTCTAATGTTCCAAGATCGTTTGGAATCAGCTGTTCACTAGAAAATGTTGACAACTTTTTTCCTAAAAAAACAGGCAAGCCAGCCAACGTATCAGATATCCTTAAATGTTTCCTGGAAATGCTGTGTGGTTCTCTTTTTTAAGAGTGACTAAAATTACCTCAAGTCAATTTCTTTTTTCACAATGTTTTACATGATATTCAAACATCTTTCCCTCCTAACGTGCATGAAACATTTACATTCTGGGTCCAAACTTAACTTTTGATATTTTGTGGAGGATAACTAAGCTCCACTCTAAGATGTACAAATGACTTCTTACCATTTCAGAGCATCCATTTAAGTCTGTACAATTCTTCAAAAGTTTTACCTTCAGTGTCTGTAAACCACCTACTCACCTGGCTTATCTACTAGATTTAAAACAGCTTGGAGGTCAAAGCTTTCTGTCCTGCATGAAGACAAAAATAAAATGCATTGAATATTTCCTCTCAAGTGTAAGGCCAAAATGTTGCGGGGTCGGGCCGGGGGTGTGGAAGAGGAGGGAGGAAGGACTAAGGTGAGGGGGAGAGAAAATCTGTGCTACCACAATCCTCAGGGGTCTCCCCTCCCTCACCCTGGTCTTTGCATCTGTGATTTGCCTAAGAGCTTCACTTAAAGGCACAAAGAACAGAATCTCTCATTGTAGTAAGTGGCTAAACTCACTTCGCCTTGGGAGGAGCAGTGAGCAAAAGAACTTTAACGAGATTAAGGTTTCCCAGGGCTAGTATTTATTTCAGTTGATTCTGACAGTCACACTGTTTACCCGGCCAGACCCCAGAGCCTTGACTCGAACTAAGAAAGTCGCTGAGAAAAAGGATGGCTAAGTTGGGTAAAAGAGCTTTCTAATGCCCGGGGGCCAGCCACCTGCCACGGCAGTTTGGATCCCACTCAGTCTCCTTCCAGACCCGCCCGTGCGTGGACTGTCAAAGAAGGGAAGGACCAATGTGTCTCCCATTTGACAGCAGGGAAACCGAGACCCACAGAGGAAAAGTGACTGGTCCAAAGTCGCGCAGCGGGGGGAAATTCCGGAACCCCAGGCTTCAGGTTCCCAGGCCGGGGAGCCCGCCTCTGCCCCCACCCTCGTCCTTTCTGCACCCCGGTACTGCCCTCCGCCTTGGGTCTTGGGCAACCCAGTCGGGGCCTCTTTGGGCGCACTCCGAGACCACCGGGAGAAAGAGGGGCCTGCTCGTGTCTCCGGTCCCCGCCCGCGCACCTGCCGCTCTCTGGGCAGCCGGCAGACCCCGCCTCCGGGGCCTCTCGTGAGCGCCGGCCCGCGTCACCAGCCCCCACAGCCGGCCTGCGGGCAAAGCAGCAACCCGGAACCGCACTTCCACAAGCGCGCCGGAAGTGGCTGCGCGCGGGGCCGTCCCACCGTGCGCATGCGCCTGAGCGCCGTCTTCCCGGCGGCCGGCGCGAGCTTCGGGGTGACGGTTGGGCTGGAACCGCTGGAGGGCGCGGGGCTGGGCGCTCCCTGAAGCCGGTCCGCCACGTCAGCAGGCGGCCAAACCCTCGTAGGAGGGCTGGATGGCTGAAGCACTTCTTTCCTTTTTTTTTTCTTTTTGAAGGGGGCGGTGCGGAGCGGGGGAAGTGGTAGGAACCTGGTGCAAAGGGGAAAGAACTGATTGCTGCGGTGGTGTCAGCCTGCGGCGTGGAAACCTCAGGCCGTGGCTGCGCTGGCCCAACCCAGACTTTTCACTCCTCTCCCTGCATCCCAGTCTGCACCCTACACGGCCGCCTTGTACCTGCAAGCCCCTGCCGCCTTCCTCACGCTGGAACCTATGGCTCCACACGTTAGTACTGAGAACTCGCGCTTCGTAATGGGTGTTTTCAGTTTTGTGCCTGTGACCCACTTGTAGGACACGTAATGTGTCATTGAAAGAAGAGTTTCCGGAATCATACCCTTATTATATAGTGCAGTCTGATATATTGCATTTCATTAGAAACACACGCTAGCGGCAGCCCACCACATTCATTTCACTAGCCACTAATGGGCCTCCAACTTTTGACAGATGAAGAAAGTCCAGAGAGGTAAAACTGCCTTGTACAAAGTTACAGTACAAACTGGTAGCCTACGTCGGGTCTCGACTCCTTAATGCCAACCAAGCCAGACATTCCACATTGAAGTTGCACATGTTCTTGCCCAGACCCAACACCAGCCTGAGGGCCAGCAGCTTCAACCCAATCCCCTGAAACAATCCCTCCCTCAGTGTGTCCCACCTGGAGGAGGGCAGGGAAAAAACCAAGACTAGGACGTAGAAGAAATTTACAAACTAAAATAATAGCATCAAATCTTCAACCTCAAGACTGTTTCAAGTAACCGAGGAATTATCTGAAAGAAGCAAACCCTATCAGTTTAGCCCTTATGTTGTCAACAATCTGAAGAAGTAGCAAAAACTTTAAGCAAATAATGTTTATTTTTATATCGATGATACACTTAATATATACGTGAATTCAAGATACAAAATTCATTTACAAGAGTTCACACCTGATGAATGTAATCACATTCCTAGAGAGAACATTTATCAATGCAAAAATGTCTTCAATACACTGACAACAAAAATCAAATATTCTGTAATCTTGTTATTCAATAAACATCAAAACAATGTTTAACTCTCCATCCTCTACTATTTAAGAGCCCTCAAGGTGGTAGGCACCATATAACAGAAGAAAACATTGGAAAAGACAAGGGCCTACTGAATCTGCTCTGCAGAATCACAGTGTTTACTCTGATATTCATTTACTTAAGTAGTGAAAGGCTTGCTATCCTTTATGACAAATCACGTACCATACAAGAGTCAAAAGTGATGATCAAGAAAATAAAATGTTTTGATAACTTCTCAATTTCTAAAATCTATGACATATTAGCCATAACAGACAAAGCAGAAAAAGGCTGCTGAAAAGGAACACAATAGGAAAACATCCTTAAGAGTATGTATGGCTTAAGCAATTTAGAAACACAACAGATAAGACTTTTACAATACCACAGTTGTTCAAGTCCAATGATATTGACAATATAATTTTCCCCCTTAGTCATTGGTGGTAAATAGCCCCTTCAAATTTAATTCTACTGAGAACACATATAAAACTAGTGAATCCAAATGGTTTCTTGTCTCACAGAGCTGACTTGATGGATTTTGTTCTAAAGTATTAACCCACAATACCCAAAATTTAATACAAATGAGCAACAAGACTACGTTTCAAGGATTACAGTGATTTGTGAATAGCTAGATAGGCAACCAAATAGCTTCATTATTTGCACGACAGATTAGCAGCACTTGGATAAGAACTGTTACGTGAAAATTATTGTGCTTCAACCTCTCAAAGAGAGCTAATAAATATACCTCTATAATCCTTATAGTGTTACAATTCTATAACATTTCAGTTACAGACAAGCACAATTTTTAAAAAGTATTTCACACCACTACAAAATCAAGTAATTATATTCTCCAAATGTAATTTCTGTTACGATTGAAACAAGTGCATTTCTGCCTAATATCCATAATATAGACAATAGGTTCACCATTATTTTCAGGGAAAAAAGACCAAATATAACTTATTTTAACTCCTATTTGATTATCTTAACCTTTAGTGATGACTTGAATAAAGAAAAGGGTATTCAACCTTACAATGGAAACTACTCAGACAAAATAATAATGTGGCCTGAAATGACAAAATTCTTTAGAGCTAAGTAGGAAATGATTTAAAACTGCTTCATCACATTCAATGATTAGTGAAACCACTATTTTTACTGGTGCTACACAGTGAAGATAAACCTATTTGGATAAATTCCTTCATTTGTAAACTCTACTATGAAAATGGTAGGACATTGCATCTGCCTGTCCTATTACCTAAGACCTTTCTACTTTGACAGGAAGAAGCCTCCAAAATGTATCTCTTGATTGTTGAGTGGCAAGGTTTATTAAAAACAACAAATAAAAAACAGCTGGAGAACTAGTCATATGATCTATGTGATGAAAGGAATGTAACCAGATAACTATAAAAAGCCACAAACACAAAGACCTAAAATATTTTACTGAACCATTGAGTTCTTTTTAATAAAAAAGAAACAAAAGTTTTTTAAAAAACTCATTCTGCAAGAAATAGTAAATAAAAATTCTTATTGCCCTAAAACATTTGAAGCAATTTTTCCTGCAGATTTTTAATACATTACAACACATACCTATAATCTAAAAAAAAGTCAGTAACATGCAAAGAAGGGTAGGAATAGATTTTTTAATTTAAATAGTGTTTATTTCTATATGTTTGGAAATATTTACTCTTGGGATTATCATATATGATCATTTCACATTTTACAATGGTTTGATGTTTGAAAATATCAAACCATTTTACTGATTTGATGTTTGAAAAGACTTATGGGTCAAATTGTAATGTTTACAAATCTTAATTTTCAATCACAGATAAGTGGACATTCATGACAGTTTCAAGAGAGAAAAGAATATTAGTAATATAGGGCTTCCCTGGTGGCGCAGTGGTTAACAATCTGCCTGCCAATGCAGGAGACACGGGTTCGACCCCTGGCCCAGGAAGATCCCACATGCCGCAGAGCAACTAAGCCCATGTGCCACAACTACTGAGCCTGTGCTCTAGAGCCTGTGAGCCACAATTACTGAGCCCACGTGCCACAACTACTGAAGCCCACGTGCCTAGAGGCCGTGCTCCGCAACAAGAGAAGCCACTGCAGTAAGAAGCCCGCGCACCGCAACAAAGAGTAGCCCCCGCTAACCCAACTAGAGAAAGCCTGCGTGCAGCGAAGACCCAACGCAGCCAAAAATAAAATAAATTAAAAAAAAAGAATATTAGTAATATAACATAAAATTTTAAATAATGTTTACTGCATACCTAAAGGAAGGCTAGCTATAATTCCCCATCTCATTCTGAAGTGACATAAACACTCATTCTATTAATCTTCATTCCATAAGCCTATCAGAAAAGTAAAAAAATCTCAACCCTAAAATTACCAATGTCTCAATAAACAATACTACACCTAAAAAGATGATTGTCTTGGGATGTAGACTGGAATTGTTCACCAAAATAGGAAAATATTCCCAATTTATAGTCTGTTCTATGACCAAATTCAGGCTTTATGATTAAGTGAATCTGGAGTGCAGAATTAGTATACCTCAAACTGCTAAAAAACTCTGAAAGCACTGTTCAAATATGTTTTTTAAAAAATCATACTGCTTAGACTAGTTTGATAATTTAAAATATAACTTTAAAAAAACACAAATTAACAAAAATATTTTTAAATTAAGAAATGGTGCTTCAGTCAGTGATTAACAACGTTATATAGAAATGGAATTCTTCTTAAAAGTCAATATTACACCAAACTAAGTTAAAAATACCAATTTTAGCTTAAGAAAACATTTCATATCTACAGAATTCCAAAGGAAATATTTCTATGGCATCAACAAATTAGTTACACTTGATTTAATACATTTATCTTTACCCATTTAAGGGCATGTCCCCCTACATCATCCTGACATCCTTCCCTTCAATAGGTGATTGATTCCATTCACACATCAATTATCCTTCCTTAAACACAAGGCATGTTTAATAAATCTCTGTGTTCAAAAATTCAGTGAAGCTGGGACACAGTGTAATTATTATGTTTTGAAATTCTCGTTTGAGGAAGATTAACTGCCTTAATAAAATTGTTTTTTAAGGTAAAGTGGTCACAGTATCCAGGAAAGAACTGGAGGTACAGCATGAACAGGTATAAAGTATCCATGTCTAAGACTGCAGGAGAATAGGGGGAGAGAGGACTTGGTTTTCTAAGCAATTCTTATTTAATTGCAGCCTGACTGTTAGAGAGTCAGAGGTCATATTCACAATGTCAGTCTCATCTACTACACTTCTAAATGCTGCTGCTCTCCTCAAATCAATGTCCACATTAAGCATGAGTCAGTTCCATGAATTTTAAATAGCATAACATCTGCTCTGCTACTCTCCAGTTGCAATAAATGATTTGGTTACTAAAACAACTCGAACATCAGACACTATGAACGTTTTCACTGATTTTCTCAGAAAGAATACATCACCAAATTTTAATATGTATTTAAGAAAAAGGCTATTACAACTTTATTTAAAATTTAACATTGTAATTGAGAAGTGTTATGAATACTTGGCTGACATATTAAAAATACAATGAAGAGGCAAACGTAACATTTTGGAGGACAGTAGAAATGACTCCTGACTTTTCTCTTTAAGATAATTTAAAATTGGATCAGATAGATTTAATCTTCTGAAGAATAATGGGGTAAATAGTTGTTTGCAGTTATATTTTATCAAGCAAAAAAATAACCCCTACTTAATTTTTGTGGTGAATGTATTCAAGTGTATATTAAATATCTCCTACACTCTTCCGTGCAAATAAATATGCCCAGTGAAGACCCGAGTAACCGAATATTGATCTCTGTGATACTCCATAGGTTCACAAATTGGCACTGCACATATTTACTATCCTCTTATCCTCCCCTACCTGTCATTCTTGGTAGAGGTTTGAAGGCCCCATTTTTATAGCATGCCATGCACCTAATATTAAGAATCCTACTTCGTGTGTGAATGTATCAATTTGCAGAACACAGTGGTCTCACAGAGACAAAGAAATACAACTGGAGGCATTTTATTCACTGGAAGCATTTTCTCAGATAAGCATACTCATCTTTGATATGCAGCTCCAATTAGAAAAATCTCTCGTTAGAAATGCCAAGACAGGACTAAATTAATCACAGCTGCTGCAAATATAAAGGTTATCAACCTCTTGTTCCTCATTAAATTCGACCCTACCTAGGTAAAGCCCTCCTCTACCTAATGCTCCTTTTTCTGCCTCACAGAGGTAAGATGAGACACACCGGTGAAAAAAAAATTGTTCCCAAATTAAACTGTGGTATCAGGCATTAAAATGGCAACTAGGAACGTATTTCCCTACTTAAAGGACATTTCCCTATCTATTTTGAAATGTGATCAAAGTAATTTTTTCCACTGCCCCTTGATTCTCAATATAAATACTTATGTTACTAAGTAATAATACCCAACTACAGGCAAGAAGATAAAGTACTGATATAGCTTAAGAACCTGCTGGTGTCTCAGTTTCACATACTTAGGTTTTTCAGGTTCCTATCACTAATTTATCATCAGTTTAAATGGAAACTGGCAGATGATTTTAAAGCTAAGAATATCCAGCTTTCTGTTAAGATCTTCATGTCCTAATTTCAACTCCAAATTAGTCCATTTTACCCAAACACAAGCCCCTCAAAATAGAGGCTCACGATTGAGATACAACCACAACCTAATTACAGCAGCATGAACAATGCCACCATGATGTCCTCACAGAACTTAAATAAATTCAGCCCACAATGGGTATGGGTATATAATATACACATACTGTATCTCTGCATACCATATATTTACAAATATGTACATATATACAAAAAGTATACACAGAGATTCAGCATCATGAAAATATATACATGCCACTGCAAATAAAATAAGAATTTCAAATAAATAAGGACAACAAAAGAGCCCTCAATGTAAATATCCTTAATACTCTCCAAACAAACATACAGGAACATATACACCCAAAATATCACCAGGAGATTCATACCATTCATATTCATATCAAATCTTTTTACTCACTTAGGATGGGGAGGTGGTTCTGCATCACAGGCAGTAGCCAAGTTTGCAGACCTTAGTACCTTACTATATTTCCTGTCCAGAATATTCTCTGTATATCAGACTGATTACAAGTCTCTGTGGATAACTAAGTACAAGATTTTTCAACAGAGTCCAAAACCCTTCTAAGAGACAGAAAGTTACTAACTCACACAGGTCAGAGATTAAACTTGGAGAAAAATGCTAATGAAAGCTCTCAAAATTAATATATACATTGGATTTGTTGCTTTTCCCTTTACCTCAAAGAAATTCAGTTCAATCACCACCTAATCTGTCTCAGGGAATACTACTGCAAGAAGAAAACAAAGCATAGTAGCCACAAGTGAGAAAAAATAAAACCCAGATCCTTTACCAGGAAAATTTCAGTCATGACTAGATTGCACTTTGCTTTTATAATCTCAAAACATTTCAACTTGGTAAAAATATAAAGGGTACAATAAATTCTATGTGCTTTGAGAGGTTTTTGAGAGCACCACTTCCTAGGAAGAAAAAACACACACACACATACACAAAGGATATACCCTGGCTAAAATCAAAGATAAAATGTCTGACTTGTGGATTTTTTTATAAATAATAAATTAAAATTTGCTGGGGCTGATTGATTTACTGGTTTCAATATTTGATATATTAAAAAAATACCATAGCTTTTGTGCCAAAATATAAATCTCTAATTATTTCTTTCTTGTTCATTATAGAAAGCAACCTGAGCTACTGGAAAGACTGGGCTGAGATTAGGAGATTTGAGTTTTAGTTCTAGCTCCATCTTTATGAAAAAAAACTGAGTTTTTTGGGGTCGCAGCTTTCTCTTCTGTAAATTAGGGAAGATAGTCGCTTTATCAACTTCAGAAATATACGGACAAAGAAAGAGAAAACAATTCCATTGTGCTTAATTTTGTTTTGTATATAACTGACTTCTTGCACTCTTACACTATTTTGTTTACAGTGGTTCTTAGGTGAGGTGAGACACTGTATCAGAATCTCCAGGGGGGAGTTTGTGCAATTTGAAAGCAAAGAAGTGCCCTTTCTCATTGTTTTGCTTTGTTCTTAGTTCCAAAATTTAAATTTCTATGAATTCTAAAAATAAATAAAGGGTTTAACATTTTAATATTCATAAAGGGGAGCAGTATATATTGAGAAAATAAGATTCTCTGCCATTGCCATCTTGAGCCCATTGAGTGATTGTCCTTTTTCATTTCCTCTTCCTCAATTAAAGTAAGGTCTTAAAATGTAGAAGCTGGGTAACGGGTATAAAAGGTTCATTAAACTCTGTGTATGTTTAAAATTTTCATAACAAAAAGTTAAAAAAAACAACAACAAAGGAATACAAGTGTTTGCACAAATGTAACCTTCACAATAAGGCCTACCCCGATCACTCACTGAAACATTATTTTCTGCCTAAAAACAAACGAAAAATTTCCCTTGCCACGCTCTAAATTTTCTTCATACTATTTAAAACTTTCTAACATAAATTTACTTATTTATTATATTTATTGCCTGATTCCTCCTATTAGAATATAAGCTTCATGAAAACAAGGACTTTTAAGTCTACGTTGTCTGTTTCACCAATGCCTAGGACAAAATCTGGAGTATAGCGTTGCTCAATACACATTTTTTTAAAGGCATGAATGAAACAATAGTTTAGAATTTTCCAGCACAGTTTTCCTCTCAAGATTACTTTAGTTCACTTTAAATTTTTAACCACCAGTAAGGAATTACACTACTATTAACTTGAGGAGCAAGGTCATCATCTAAACACTAGCTGTGAGTTCCAAGACCCCTTGTTCTTAGACAAACACATTACTAATAACAAAAGCTCCAATTTCTTCTGGAGATTCTCTCTCTGAACTAGTTTCTACAACAACTAAGTGGGACCCAGATATTTTCTTGAAGAAAAACTAGGTAAAAATGATATAGAAAAGAAAATGTTGTGTATACTAAAATAAGGGAAACCAATTTTCCAGGTGGCAGGGGTGGGAAAATCAATATCTTTTGGAACCAAGAGTTCAAATTATAGAACCACAGAATTGGACAGAACCTTGGGCCAATGCCTTCATTTTACAGATGAGAGTGCTAAAAAGCAGAGACATGAAGACACTTGTCAAAGGGCATAAAGCTAGTTACCAGGAAAGCCAGGATTAGAACTCAGGTCTCCTAATTCTCAAGCCAGTGTTCTTTATGTTAATCAAGTGAGGATAAAGCTCAGGATGATAAATATTATTTTAAGCATCAGAGAACAGGAGAATATGTGTTGCTAGTACTGGCACAGAACTTCCAGGGAATTGAAACAAGAGGTCAGATAACTAAGGACAGTCTATTGCTGTGGTTCAGGTGAACACTGTTATGAAAGGAAAGCTATGAAGTTTATTAAGGTACTGGGGGGGAAAAAAAAAGGAAAGCAGTCTTTATCTGATAATAAAAACCCACTAGCAAAGGAAATCTCTCTCCGGGGTAACTTTTCCAAAGCCTTCTGAAATAATGTTTAAAAGAACAAACAAAAATGACTTTAAAAAAATTAATTAAAAAACCCACAAAGTCTCCCAAACCCAAGAACAATAACTTCAAGACTTCAGATGAAAAACCAACAAATTGGAACACATATATGAATAACTTAGACCAAAATAATTCTGTATGTTAGAAATAAAAACCAAGTTAAAAATATTACAGTAAAATTTCCCTAGGGACATAGGAAAGAGGCACCAAAAGCAAACACCTCCTTTCCCCTGGGACTGCCAGAGGTAGAGTTGTGAGCCTGTACAGAAAATTAGGTAGAAGGGCTTTTGATTCAACGATTTCTGAACTTGAATGCTGGGGAGTCAAAAGAGGGGAAAGAAATCATAGCTAGTAACTGTAAAATTATGAAGGGGATGAAAGGGGAGAAAAAACACAAAAATCTTTATATAATACACTGAACCCTATATAAAATAATAAAAAACTTGTGCATGAAATATAAAATAGTAAATATAAGGAGTTTTTAAAAACCTAATTTCCAAATTGTCAATGCAAAAGCAACTTCCATTTTAATTATATAACAATTCAGTTACCCTCAACTAAAATTAGTAACAACTCTGAAGTTTCATAAATCTGAACTAGGCAAAAAGATTACAAACTCTCTACTGTATACCACAGACCTCAACCTAGACAGTCTTTAAACTTGATCTCATTAATTAATAAAAGTTTAAATGGAATTCCTATGGAAACACTGTATTATGAAAACGACAACCTGATTTTTTGACTGAAAGATTTAAAAGTTGTTCTTTTTCACTTCCAGCATTCAAAGAATACAAAGAAAACAAAATATGCAAACATATCTCATGATAACACAGGACTCACACATTCCAAATGATATGTATCATCTCAAGACCTCAATTAAAGATTCAGCTTTTCAGATGCAAATCAATCCTATACAGTTACTGAAATTTTGACAGCATTTAAACGAATTAAATGCTTTTAAGAACTATCTTGGGCTTCCCTGGTGGCGCAGTGGTTGAGAGTCCGCCTGCCGATGCAGGGAACACGGGTTCGTGCCCCGGTCCGGGAGGATCCCACATGCCGCGGAGCGGCTGGGCCCGTGGGCCATGGCCGCTGGGCCTGCGCGTCCAGAGCCTGTGCTCCGCAACGGGAGAGGCCACAGCAGTGAGAGGGCCTCATACCGAAAAAAGAAAAAAAAAAACCAAAAAAAAAGAACTATCTTGATTAGGCATCAAAGAATCACACATTTTTCTATCTACTAACTTGGAATGAAAAGAAATATTATGGAAGGGCTCTGTTCTTGATTCTTAGTAGTCCATGCTGGCTAGTTTCACATTTGTGAACAATTACATGTTTTCCAAATCCACACATTTAAGGTCCAAGTATAAGAGTTGGGTTTTCCTCATTATACAAAAATAAATGATTTACTCTTCTCAGGGTGAGAATAGTGACTATATGAGTGTAGGATCAGATGTTAGAGGTAAGTATCCATACCTCAAAACCAAAAAATAAAAATTCCAAGATTGAGTTTTTAAAAGACCTGAAACATTGTATTTTAAAACAGTTACCCTAAAAGTTTGAACAATTTTTTTCAGCTTGTTTTTAAAATGGTGGTCCTAAATTGAAAAATAAAAACTAAATAACACCACTGTGTGTCTGTCATCACATTAGAAAACTGCACCATTTAAAATCTGTGGCAAATGAAAACTTGTTTCAACAGAGGATTTTTGTTTTAATAGTCATCTATGGTATTCTCAAGGAACACGTTTCGCACATCCAGAATGGATGCTAATTCCAAAATGTGCTTCTGGAGGTGAGGGTTCTCCACTGTTTCATCCCTTGGCAGTTGTGGATATGATTCTGGATAATTTCGTGTTTCCTGGTAAACAAAGAAGAGAAAAGTCAATTTTATAGTTTAAGGAAAGAAAATTATACACATTAATATTACTGTTAATATGAACAGTATTAAGAAGTAACTTAATATGCATATTTCTCCTTCATATTGGTAATATATTTGTTGAACATACGAAATTGCTGACATTTGACCATTTTGACCCAAAAAATGATAAGTTCATATGGTTCAACCCAATATATTCATTTAGTGAGTTATTTCATGAATATTTACTGGGGCCTATCATTTCTGGGAACTATGCTATATTGTGGAAACCATATAATTCCTACTTGCTGGGGGGAAAATCCTAAAATACACAGAATTTCAACAAGTATTTGTTAGTGAATAAATAAATACATGTTTCAGTAGAAATTAAAATGAGAGAAAAGACATGGGAAACCCTGAAAAGGTCAAATTAATGGGCCTGGGCAATTAATTATAGGAGAAGGAGGTGTCAAAAATGACTAAGATTTCAAGAATGGATGACTTGAAAGAAGAGTTGAGAGCTACTCAGAGAAAAAGAGATGTAAAGGAGGAGATAATTTGGGGATAGTATAAAGCTTCAGGTTTTAGGTATATTTTATTTAAGGTAATGGGCTATACAAAGAGGACAGCCCGTCAACCAGAATTTGAAAATTCAGGACCGTATCTCAGAAGACAGGTTTGAGGGTTTCCCTGGTGACAGATTGGTTAAGAATCTGCCTGCCAATGCAGGGGACATGGGTTCAAGCCCTGGTCCAGGAAGATCCCACATGTCGCGGAGCAACTAAGCCTGTGTGCCACAACTACTGAGCCTGTGCTCTAGAGCCCACGAACCACAACTACTGAAGCCTGTGCGCCTAGAGCCCGTGCTCTGCAACAAGAGAAGCCACCGCAGTGAGAAGCCCACGCACTGCAATGAAGAGTAGTCCCTGCTCACCACAACTAGAGAAAGCCCACGCACCGCAATGAAGACCCAATGTAGCAAAAATAAAATAAAATAAAATAAAATATTTAAAAAAGAAGAAGACAGGTTTGAGCAGTTTATGTCATACTATATACTATATACATATATAATATATACACTGATACAATCTACATGAAGATAAATATTAATAGCCATGAAAATGGATGAGGTTTCTAAGCATATTAGCAAAGAGAGTGAAAAAAAGAGTCCCTAGAAAGAGAGATGAAAGATCAGGGGCAAAAACAAAAAAAGGACTAATAAAAGAAAAAAGAAAATAGTTTTTGTAATCACATGGAAGCAAAAGAAGAAGACAATTTCAAGAATAAAGTGATTCTCATTTGGAAATTCTTCATTTGGTACTTTCTACAGACTACAATTTTGCCACATACTTAAAATTTACTGAAAAAATAAATTACCATTTTTCTATACATCTAACATGACACTCCATATATTAAAAGGTCATTTCTATCTCTCTTGTGCCTGTAGGCCTCAGTAATTACATATTACAGAGACTAAATTCTCATTTTACCACACTAAATACTATGAGGAGTGACAATAATGAAAAGCTCAAAAACCCTAAAAAAAGAAAAAAAACAAAAAACCAGGAACTGCTGGGGGGCTACTGTAAACTGAACAATTCTCTCAGCTCACACAGGGCTGGGACATGTTTGAATTCTGACCAAACACCCCAAGGGTGGAGAATATGTGTTGAAACAGTGGACATATAAAAGAGACCCCAGAGAAATCATGCTTCTTAGTACTAGGCTGAAATAAATCTACATCTGTATGTTAATGCTACTGTAATAAATCTGCCCTTAAAAAGCTTAAAAACAAGCCAGGGAAAGGTCAAAAAGATGTTCAAGTAATTTAACTCCTGCCAGAACAAAGCCCAACGCTCTTTAAAGACAACAAAATAGAGAAATCAACATCGGAAAATTCATAATGCTCACAGTTTAACAGAAAATTACTAAACATACAAAGAATTAGAACTATGAGACCCCTAACCAGGAGAAAAAAAACAATAAAAGCAAACCTATAAATGACAGAGAATACAGTATTAGTAGGTAAAGACTTTAGCTATTATTATTCATTCAAGAACACAAAAGAAAACATAAATATAATGAGGAGAAAAATGGAAAATGTTATAAGAACCAAAAAGAACTTCTAGAGGTGAGAAAAATGTAATCCCTGAAATGAAAAACTAAATGGACATAGGATTAAGAGCACATTAGACACTGCAAAAGAAAACATCAGTAAAGTTGAAGACAACAGAAACTGAAACACAGAGAGAAAACAGACATTTAAAAAAATGAAGAGCATGTAAATAAACCTTTTTTCACTTAAAAAAAAAAAAAAGCAAATCATTGACCTGTAGGACAATATTAGGTTGTTTAACATATATGTAATTGATGCTCCAGAAAGAGAAAGGGAGGAGTAGAGAAAATGAAGAAATAATGGCCAAAAATATTCTCAAATATATTAAATATCTTGATATTTAGATAGCTCTAAGATGCTCAATAAACCCCAAGCAGGAAGAAAGCAACAAAGAAAAGCATATCAAGGTAGTACATCATAATCAAATTGCAGGAAACCAATGTAAAGAGAAAACCTTAAAAACAGCCAGAAGAAAACACACATTACACATTGTAATAATAGAACAATTATTCAGAAAATCAGTAAGGCTATAAAGAAGTTGAACAACATTATAAGCCAACGAGACCTAACAGACATTTATAGAACCCTTCATTCAACAGTAGCAGCATATATTGATACATTCATTTCAAGTGTCCCTAGAACATGTACCATTATAGACCACATTCTAGACAATAAAGCAAGTCTCAATAAATTAAAAGGACTCAAACCATACAAAGCATACTATTTGACCACAAAGGAATTAAATTAGAAATCAGTAAGATATCTTGAAAATTCCCAAAATTTAAACACTAAATAACATATTTCTAAATAACCCATGGTTCACAAAACACCAGAGTGAAATAAATACTGTTTCAGATAAATAAGCAATGAGAGAATTAATTACCACCAGATTTGCACTATAAGAAATGATAAAGGAAATTCTGTGGTAAGAAAAATGATACCAGATGGAAGATTAAATCTAAAGAAAGAAATTAAGAGTGCCAGAAATAATAAATATATAAGCTTTTCCTCCTCATTAAAATTTTTTTAGGAATTCCCCTGGTGGTCCAGTGGTTAAGACTCCACACTTTCACTGCAGGGTGTGCGGGTTCCATCCCTGGTCAGGGAGCTAAGATCCCACATGCTGCATGGCGTGGCAAAAAAAAAAAAAAGATAATTGACTGTTTAATGCTATGATAACCACAAAGTATCAAATAGTATATATCATACTCAAAAAGTCAAATGACAATAATAGTAGAGACTGGGAGGGAGAAAATGGAAGAATACTATTGTAAGATAATTATATTAAATGTGAAGTGATATTAAAGTGATATTAAAAAAGCAAAACGAGACACAGCATAAATCTACAGTGTTATTAAAATAAAATTCTAAAACAAAACAAAACCTCAATTAAGTCAAATGAAAATGAAGGCAGGAGAGAAAGAAAAAAGGTACAAACTGCAGCCAGGACAAATAGAAAACAAATAATAGTATATTTAACTCAAACTATATTAAGAATTATACTTAATTTAAATGCAATTTAAAACTAAAAATGTCAAGTAAAAGGTAGATACGGTCAAACTAGATAAAAAAGCAGGACCTAACGCTGTTGAAAAGAATTCCACTTTAAATATTAAGACAGATATAGGTTAAAAGTAAAAGAATAAAACAAGATTTGCCATACAAACACAAACCAGAAGAAAAGTGGTATAGTTATATTAATATTGCACAAACTAGATTGCAGATCAAGGAATACTGCCACACATAAAGACAGTTCATAATGATGAATGGGTAATTTCAACAAGACATAACAACTCTAGGTATATACAAACTCAATAACAGCTTCAAAATGAACAATGAAGAAACAGCACCAAAATGAGAAACTAACCAATTCACAAGTATAATTAGAGGTTTAGATACTTCTCTATCAGGGATAGAATAAGCAGACAGAAAATAAGTTAAGAATATGGAAGACTTGTGGCTTCCCTGGTGGCGCAGTGGTTGAGAGTCCGCTGCCGATGCAGGGGACACAGGTTCGTGCCCCGGTCCGGGAAGATCCCACATGCCGCGGAGCGGCTGGGCCCGTGAGCCATGGCCGCTGAGCCTGCACGTCCGGAGCCTGTGCTCCGCAATGGGAGAGGCCACAACAGTGAGAGGCCCGCGTACCACAAAAAGAAAAAAAAAAAAGAATATGGAAGATTTGAAGAACACTATTAAATATACTTGGAACATCAAGCTGAATTGACATTTATACATCGCTCCATCTAATAATAGCAGAAGCATACATCTAATAGCATGTATTAGAATAGCATCTAATACATAGTCTTTTCAAGTGCAGAAAGAATCTTCACCAAGATAATTCATATGCTGGGTCATAAAACAAGTCTCAATAAATTTAAAAGTACTGAAATCATATAACTAAAGCAGTTAAGCTTAAAGGGTAGGTGCTTGTACTAGAAGAGAAAAAGGTTTTCAATCTAAGTTTTTTTTTGTGTTTTTTTTGCGTTACGTGGGCCTCTCACTGTTGTGGCCTCTCCCGTTGCGGAGCACAGGCTCCGGACGCGCAGGCTCAGCGGCCATGGCTCATGGGCCCAGCCGCTCTGTGGCATGTGGGATCTTCCCGGGCCGGGGCACGACCCGTGTCCCCTGCATCGGCAGGCAGACTCTCAACCACTGCACCACCAGGGAAGCCCTCAATCTAAGTTTTAAAACAGAAATTAAAAAGAGCAAATTAAAATAAAATTAATTAAAAAGAAGAAAAATAATAAAGTATGAATGGAAATAAATTAAGTAGAAAAGAGACAAACAGTAGTAAAAAAAAATCAATGAAAGTAAAATCTGTTTATTTGGAAAGATCATTAAAACTAACAAAACTTTAGCTAGACTGGGAAAAAAAAAGACAGGAAACATTACCAATATGAGTCATGAAAAATCACTAGAGAGTCTACAGAGACTAAAAGGATAAAGGAATATTATCAACAATTTTTTGGCAATAAATTAGAAAATGACTTGCAAGACACAAGTGATTAAAACTAAGAACAAAATAGAAAACATGAATAGCCTTTGAAACTGAATTCATAATTTAAAACATCCCCAAAAGGAAAACTCCAGGTCCAGATGGCTTCACTGATGAATTCTACCAATCATTCAAGGAAGAAGTAATGCCAATTGAAAAGAAACTCTTTAAGAAATACAAGAGAATGAAACACACCCCAACTCAATTTATGAAGTCAGCACTACCCTGATAACAAAACCACATAAAGACATCACAAGAAAAAATTAAATACCATACCATAATCATTCATAAACACAGATACAAAAATCCACAAGGAAATACTAGCAAAATGAATCAAACAATGCAAAAGGATAATACATGACCACAAAATGTGTTTAGCCCAGATATACAAGGTTCAGTCAATGCTATTCACCATGTTAACGGAATTAATATATATCAGGATCAATTAATGCAGAAAAAAAGTATTTGACAATCTTTTATACCCATTCCTGATAAAAACTCAGCAATAGGAATAGAAAGGAGCTCAGTCAACCTGAAAAAGGGTGTGTATGAAAAACTAACAATTAACATTATAATTTATGGTAAATGATTAATTTTTTGTTTAAAACCAGGAACAAGGCAAGAATATTCATTCACATTACTTCTATTCACCATTTTGCTGTAAGACCTAGCCCTGAAAAAAGCACACACATACACAAAATAGAAGGCATACAGATTGGAAAGGAAGATGTAAAACTGCCTTTGTCTGAAGATGACATGATCGTGTAGATAGAAAACCTTAAGGAATACACAGAAAGGTAACAAAGCAAATACTTCAGTTTAGCAAGACTGCAGGATACAGGTTAATTTATTTTTTTTTTTTTTAAGAATTTTTTGATGTGGACCATTTTTAAAGTTTTTATTGAATTTGTTACAATATTGCTTCTGTTCTATGTTTTGCTTTTTGGCCACGAGGCGCGTGGGATCTTAGCTCCCTGACCAGGGATCGAACCTGAACCCCCCGCATTGGAATGCGAAGTCCTAACCACTGGACCACCAGGGAAGTCCCACAGGTTAATTTAGAAAACATTATTCACTGATAATACATAAAAACATTTGTTTCTATGTATCAGCAACAAATAATTGGAAAATGAAATAAAAAATATAATTCTATTTACAAATCATCAAAACTTGAAATACTTTGGAATAAATTTAATAAGACACATGTAAGACCTGTATGATGAGAACCACAAAATATTGGTGAGAGAAACTAAAGAAGACCTAAACAAATGGGGAGATATACCATATTAATTCATTGGAAGACTCAATATTATTAAAATATAACTCTCCACAGATTGATTATAAAGATTTAAATGCAATCCCAATCAAAATATAAAATTCACATAGACATGCAAAGGATCTTCTAGAACTGTTAAAACACATAAAACATTTTGGCAATGGCAGGGGGGGCTCACACTACAAAGATTTCAAGACTTATTATAAAGCTACAATTATCAAGGCAGCAGTATATTAGAGAAAAATGCTATCAGTCAATGGAACAGAATTTAGAGTCTAGAAATATCCCTATACATATGTGGTTGACTGATTTTCAAAAAATAACAAAAGTAACTCAGTGAAAAAAGGCTAATCTTTTCAACAAGAGATACTAGAACAATTTCATACCCATATTGAAAAGAAATTTTAACCCTTACTTCACACTGTAAACAAAAGTTAACGCATATCATAGAACTAAATGTAAAAGCTAAGACTATAAACTCCTAGAATCTTTGTGACTTTGGGATAGACAGAGATTTCTTAGATAAAACACACCACAAAAGAAAAAGGAATTGATTCGTTCAAACTTCATCAAAATTTTAAAAGTTTAGTCTTCAAAGCCACTGTTAAGAAAACGAAAAGGCAACCCAACAGAATGGGATAAAATGCAGCTAACAAGCACATGAAAAGATGTCCAATATCCTCATTCAACAGTGAAATGCAAATTGAAACTATGGGTTGGCCAAAAGTTTCGAATGAACTTTTTGGCCAACCAATACAATGAGATACCACTATAAATCCAACAGACTGGTTAAAATTTAAGACTGACAACACTATGTGTCGGCAAGGATGTACAGCAACTTTCACATGCAGTTGCTGGGAAAAGAAAATGACACAACTACTTTGAGAAAAAGTCTGGCAGTTTCTTATAAAACTAAAGACATACCTACTCTATGACCAGGAAAATTCAAAACGTTAAGTCTGGAAAAGACTTGTATAGGAATGTTCATGGTCACTTTATCTATAATAGTCAAAAGTTTAAAACTGCCCAAGTGTTCATCAAAAAGAGAAGGCCTAGGGGACTTCCCTCATGGCCCAGTGGTAAAGAATCCACTTTCTGATGCAGGGAACGTGGGTTCGATCCCTGGTCGGGGAACTAAGATCCCACATGCCGCGGGGCAACTAAGCCCACGCGCCACAACTACTGAGCCCGCGGGCCTCAATGAGAGAGCTCTTACGCCGCAAGCTACAGAGCCCATGCACTCTGGAGCCCGTGCACCACAACTAGAGAGAAGCCCACATGCCACAACCAGAGAGAAGCCTGTGCGCCACAACGAAAGATCCTGCACACCTCAACAAAGGTCCCGCGTGCCACAACTAAGACCTGACGAAGCCAAAAAAAAAAAAAGAGAAGGCCTAAATAAACTGTGATATATTCAGAAAATGGAACTACTCAAAAAGAATGAGTTACTTCTACATGAAACAACACAGATGAATATTAAGAATATGCTTGATCAAATAAGGTTTACACTGTATAATTCAAGTTCATGAATAGGTGACATTAATCTGTAGTGAAAATAATAAAAAGAGCATTGTCTCCGGGATAATGGGTAGTGGACTGACTGGAGAGGGGTGTGGAGCAAATTTTCTGGAATGATGCTATGTTGTATCACTTGATTGGGGTTTGAGTTACAAAGGAGTATGTATTTGTCAAAACTCATCTAATTGTACACTTTAGTTCTGTGCATTTCACTGTATGCAAACTTTACATTAAAAAAAGAAGTAAATAAATATAAATTTCAGTTATTTATATGCATGATGAAGTGTTGAGGGGTGAAGTCCACAGTTTACTTCAAAATGCATCAAAAACTGAGATGAACTGATAATTGAAAAGAGAGATGGATAAATGGACAAATATGTGAGAAAGCAAGTATACCAAAATGTTAACTGCAGAATCCAGCTAGTGTGTATATGGGTATTCACTGCAAAACTCTTCCACATTTTAAAATTACAGTCATAAAATGGAAAAAATATCATATTTTAAAACTAAAAATGGCAAAAGACTTTTGAGAATATTTAAGCATATTTGAAAAAGAACCAAATGTTACTTATAAGAAGTGAAAAATGGCTAAAATTTTTAAAACCTCACTGAAGAGTGTTAGTTACATGAATACACAGAAAGAAACAATCTACTTAGAGCAAAACAGACCAAAGACTTGAACACACTCTTCATAAAGACGAACACAGAGTAACACATATGAAAAGTTGTTCAACCTCAAGAGTAATCCCAGAAATGACATTTGAAAGCACAATGAGCTACTACTTACACCCACCAGATTCACATGAAACACAAAGAATGACAGCAACAAGTGTTGGCAAGGATTAGACCAATAGCAACTCTTACACACAGCTACTGCAAGCATAGACTGGTATAACCAGGGCTTTAACTAGTAAGGCTGAATACATCTATAGTGTCTGACCCTGCAGTCCACTACTAGTATGTTCCACAGAGAAAATCTTATATATGTGTGCCAGGTAACTGATGGAAGATTTCACAGTGGCATCGTTTATAATAATAACAAACCAGAAACAACCCAAATGGCCATTATCAGTAGATAATGAGTAATTTGGGATGTATAGTCAAACAATTGAATCCTATATAGCAGTGAAAACGGATGAATGAAAGCTACAGTCAGTCATCAACATGGCTCAATCTCAGGAATGTGACAGTGAGTCAGAAAGCAAGAGGTAGAATACATACAATATGGATCCATGAACATGTTGTGTAGGAACACAAAAACATGTGACAAAACTATAAAGAAAAGCAAATGACAATTATAAAATTCAGGGTTTTAGTTTCATTAAAACTAAAGAGGGGAGACAGGATCAGGGAGGACCCACGGGGGGCCTCAAAGGTAATGAAAACTTTCTGCTTCTTAAACTGGGTGGTAGCTACTCAGATGTGCCTTAGATTGTTCATCTTTATACCTTACCTATTAATATGTGAATATTATATTGGATCTAGTCAAAGTTTATTTAATACAAGTGAAATATACGACTCTTAAATACCTAAAATGGCAAAATTGATCTTTAATGATATTCTTTGCCTACCCGAAAAATCTTGTGCATCCTCATGGTGGCTGAACAAAAGATAAATCTTGTGAGAAGCAAGCGAAGGAATTCATCTCCAAAAAACTGGAGAAATGCCTGATCTGCAAAGAGGAGAAAAGTGACAGTAAAAGGATACTTAAGTGGAAAATACATTTCAAAAGGCAAGAAATGTTCAGGAAAACCTTCTCAACTTTCCTGCCTTCAACAAATACCTTTACAAATTCAAACAATTTAAACAATTTTAAACCATTATAGTACATTCTGTTAAGTGTGCAGTTAGATTAGTAGGGTACCTATTGAACGTGAATGGGTCAGTAGCTGGGCAATATCGCGGTTGATTTTTCGAAGATATTCTTGACACTTTTCCCATAGGCCTCTACGCATGCTTGACAATCCAGAGACAAATAGGAAGGCCATTAGAGGATTGTTCAAAAAGAGAGTGAAGAGGCTACCTCGTTGAGATTGATCTGTAATAACAAACATGTTATATATATAGACAACAGTTTTGCAAAAGAGAGGCATTTGAGGAACATTTTAATATACTGACAATGTATAAAATTAAAGCTGTATCATTAAAGTATACTTCAACAAAGTACATTCGGCTTGGAACTACAAAAACATATCCCAGGTACATTGCTTTCTGCTGAAAAAAACTTAAGATAGAGCCTCGTAAACTTAAGAGAAATGGAAAATGAACATATTCCTTTGCTTTTTTTTCCCCTCCCACTAACAACTTCCATGCAAATATGGCAAGTGCTGGATCATGGGCAGCTCCTAATGGAACCCTCTGAGAAGCACTAGAACTGCCACTCTCTTTCATTCTCCTTTGTTAGTTGCTCTTTCTCTTCCTATCCCTTAAATATCAGTATTTTCTTTCTCCACATTGCTGATCTCACCTATGCACAAAGTTCAGTTATCATTTATATGCATACTAATTCCCAGTTCCCTATCTGAGCCTAAATAAGCTCCTTAGGTCCAGAACGGCGCTGTCCTACAGTAGCCACCAGACACACTTCAAAAGTGATGAGTCCAAATTGAGACACACTGCGCATTATAAAATATAAATGTCTCATTAACATTCATTCCCCCTGTTTGTTTCTACCTTAAAAAAAAAATGTGGCTACTAGAAAACTTAAAATCACGTGTGTGACTCCCATTATATTTCTATTGGACAGAGGAGCTCCAGACTACTATACTCAACCTAACTCTCAAAGGTAACCTCAAACTCAACATATCAAAACTTGTCTGTAGATTCTTTCCCGTTGTTCTCCTACAAATCTGCTTCTTATCCAGGATTATCATTTCTACCAGCACCTCAGCCAGACACCTGGCAGTCCATCCCTGCTTCCTTCCTCTCCCTGATTCCCTCTCATCCAGTCCAACATCAAGTCCTACTGGTTCTCCAGGATTATTATCTCCAGCTAACCAGCCACTGTCCTCACTCTGACCAACATCATCTCCCCATTTCCATCAAAGCTCCTCCCCAATTCATTCTTCACATGCTCGCATGCTTTTTCTCTGCTAGAACACTCTTATTCAACCATTTCCCACCCCCATCTAATTCTACGTATCCTTCAACTCAACTTTAGACATCATTTCATCCACTTTCTTAACCCTCAAGGGCTGGTCAGGAGTTCACCTTACATGTGCTTCCTCCTGTGAAACCCTCAGAGCACCTACAGTAACTGCCCATTAGGTTGTCTATATCTTCTACCTAGCACAGCACCTGATAAATAAATGTAGAATAAATGCTTGTTGAATGAATGAAGTGACTCTTGGTTAAAGAGAGAACTGCAGAATTCAGATACCAGAGGTGCAGGGACGTAATTTGACATTCCAAATACTTAGGTATCTGCTAGTTTTGTGTCCAGATGGGACACATTTAAGGGATTAGAGGTCTAAGTTTTACAGCACAAAAAATAGGATACTGGACTAAAAAATGTTAAGGACATGTATTCCAATTAACCATATTAATAATAACAATAGTTAGCACATATTGAATACTTACTGTGTACCCAGAATTATTTAATGAGGTAGGTACTATTATTATCTCCATTTGATAGGAAAGAAACTGAGGCACAGAATGGCTAAGTAACTTCCCAAGGTCACATAGCTGGTAAGTGGCTGAGTTGGGATTCAAACACAATCAGTTTGCCTCCAGAGTCTGTGTTTTTACCCTCTTCACAATAAAACCTTTCAGATTAAATAATTGTGGTATTAACCCATTAGGTTCATGCAATTTAAAATAAAGCTGCATCTTGATAGGAAAATTTGATAGCAAAAAGTACTTGCAATTGGAAGGGGTTACATTTCTCCAAAAATGATAAGAAACAGGTTAACAAAGTCCTCAAAGCAGGAGAGCTTTACCGTTGTTTGAAGGTAAGTTCTATCCCTTAGTGATTTGCCTTTTAGATACATGAACTTAGTATTTCTACATGTTTTTCCCTGTTAAATAGCAGAACTTACCTTAAAACAACGGTGAAAAGTCTCCAGCTTCTCTCGGGCATTCAAATGCTGACCATCACTTCCTGTGTCAAACTATGTCAGCAGACAGGACTTCTGGCTGGGAAGTAGCAGTAAAATGCCATCTCCCACAGAGAGACATCAGCACTATTCACAGTTAGGGAGATAGTGAAACAGTGACAAGTACTGCTAAAACAGGATTAAGGTTTGTTTAGTATTTTACCTAGCTTAATGACTGGGAATTAGATTAGATTTTATGTGTTGCTTACTGAGGACAAATTATTAAAGACAAAAAGTTTTTCATTTCTCAGCCACCTGAGAAAAGGCAAAACACTGACCTGTCTCTCTGGCACCCGGAGAAGAGGTTCTTTTATTTTAAAAATGCGAGGTAAAAATGTGAATAAAAGACACCCTTTAAATTGTGCCAGTTAGGTTATTCTAACACTTAGGCATAGATTGAGAAGTGTTCTAGACCAGAAATCTCACGGTCTTAAAAGATACTTAAAATATGTAGCCAGAGCTGGAGGAAGTCATGCTATATGGATGACAACCAGCACACCTGCAACACAAATTTTAAAATTCACAAATCATGAGCTCCCCAGTAGCAAGGGACCAAAACCTTACTCTTTTCTCAGGGATGATTTATCATTTCTTTCAGAATTATCTCAAGGCCTAACAGTAGCCCATTAAAGAATTCTGGTTGTTGGCAAGACTTCGGGGTTTATTTCAGACTGACACTTGCCACATCAAACTCTGTAAATCCACAACTGACCACTATAGGTGGGGGAGACAAAGATCAGAGCAGTATTATTCAAAATGTAGACATAAGTTTATTTGCAACCTACAGATACAACAGGGAATGACAAAACATACCTTGTAAAGCTTTTGGATATGCTGTAGGAGAAAGCAAGCAGACTAGTGGCTGTCCAAATAAGTTTGTGAAATTCTGTAATATATAAGAATTTAAAACTTTCATTAAAGATTTGACCAATGATAGTAACTTTCCAAAGCATATCATTAGTGTATAGATTGGGTCCTTTTACTTATAAACAGATGCAGAAACATCAGTAACAGCTGAAAAGACTGTCATTCAAGTTTAACATGCATAACAGGTTTTCTTAAAGTGGTGAAGTTTATTAAGTGAGCTATTGATTTTTCAAGTAAAGGCACACACATGGTTGAAGTGTCACAGGGAGAGGGCATCTGGCTGTTTATCCAGAGACTGCTCCATTGGGCAACATACACTAATATTTACAAGGGTAAATTTGCCAAGATCTATGATCTGGCTCTCAGCCTCACAGGCTCTAAAACCTGACTTACCGGTATGTGAAGACTGGATTAATCTCTCATTGTGAATCATATTAATTGCTCATACAGAATGATGTATAAAACCAGAATGTGAATGTGTTAATTTACGGTGAGAATTAAACTGACACTCATTACTCTTCGCATGATTAAGAATATCCTTTCCCTAAAGGCAGATCTGCATGGGAAGTAAAATCATAGACTGTTTGGTAAAACAAGAAAGAAACCTCCTAGGAGTAAACTTAATAAGGAGTGAAAAAAACAAAAATAACTAAAAAATACTCCTGAATGATAAAAATGAAGACTTGAACAAATGGAAAGATATATTGTGTTCTCAGAGGGGAACCCATTCTAAAGATGTCATTTCAATAATTTATTAAAATTTAAACCAAGCTCAACAAAAATAGCCACAGATTTTTTTCCGTGGCTGAAAGAAATTCTGAAGTGCATACAGATAAGGTACATTAGCCAGGAAAACTCTGAAAAAGAAGAGCAAAGAGGGGGAACTAGACTTACCAGACACCAAAACATACTTCAAAGCCTCAGTAATTAGAAATATGTGCCACAGCATAAGAGGCAGAAAACCAATACAAGAAAATGAAGAATCTAGAATTAGACCCCAAAATAGACAGGGCTTAAGGATATATGATAAAGATGATGGTTGGAATGGGTAGAAAAAACTGATAGCTATCTAGAAAAAAAGTTGGCTCCATACTTCATACCAAAACCTAGGATGAATTTCAAATATATCTGATTTAAATGTAAAAAAAATTAAACAATAACAGTGCTGAAAGAAAATAAGGGTTATTTTTGTCATCTAGAAGATCTTCCTAACTATTATAATTAAGATTGATAAACTCAGTTACAAAAATAAAAAATACAGCATGAACTAAATCAAAAGCTAGATGATAGGGCTTCCCTGGTGGCGCAGTGGTTGAGAGTCCGCCTGCCGATGCAGGGGACACGGGTTCGTGCCCCGGTCCGGGAAGATCCCACATGCCGCGGAGCGGCTGGGCCCGTGAGCCATGGCCGCTGCGCCTGCGCGTCCGGAGCCTGTGCTCCGCAACGGGAGAGGCCACAACAGTGAGAGGCCCGCGTACCGCAAAACAAAAAGCTAGATGATGAATTGGGGAAAAATATTACGAGCTTTTTCAAATCCATAAGAAAAAGACCACTGTCCTAATAGAAAAATGGGTGAAAGGTAACACGGAATACAATATTGATTGATTTTCATATATGGAACCTTCATAGATTATTCTATTAGTAGGTCTATTAGCATTTTATTTAAAATTTTCTAATCTATAATTATAAATAATCTGGGATAGAGTTTTTTGTATGTGCTATTTTTGTCTTGAAATAGTATCATTATCATAATGATTCCTAACATTTATTGAGTGCTAACTATTGTCCAGGGACTATCCTAGGATTCTTAGCTCCTAACCCATAATCTTAACAATCCTATAAAATTATTACAGAGTAGGAAAAAGAGTCTCAGAAAAGACCAAGGAAATGCTCAAGGTCATATAAATGTCTTGTGGCCTTTTATAGAATGAATTGGATATTTCTGATATTTTCCATTGCTCTGGAATTGTGCAGATTATAAAAGTTTAAAAGAATTTATTGGTGAACTCAAAATGGCTAGAGCCTTTTTTATATGGAGAAAAAGGAGATAACTTTGATCACTTCCCTCATACTATTTCATACCCTGTGATTGGGCTTTCAGATTTCCCTTCTTGTAGTCATTAGATATTTTTTTCCCAGGAAATTATCCATTTAACTGAGACTTTAAAACATTTTACAACTTTAGGGACTTCTCTGGTGGCGCAGTGGTTAAAAATCCTCCTGCCAGTGCAGGGGTCATGGGTTCGAGCCCTGGTCCGGGAAGATCCCACATGCCGCGGAGCAACTAAGCTCATGTGCCATAATTACTGAGCCTGTGCTCTAGAGCCTGTGAGCCACGACTACTGAGCCCGCATGCCACAACTACTGAAGCCTGCATGCCTAGAGCCCGTGCTCCACAACGAGAAGCCACCACAATGAGAAGCCCATGTACCTCAACAAAAAGTAGCCCCTGCTCACCACAACTAGAGAAAGCCCACGTGCAGCAACGAAGACCCAACGCAGCCATAAATAAATAAATAAATAAATAAATAAATGTATCTTTCTTCAACAGATATTCATTGAACCTACAAACTAGACACTGTTCTAGGTGCTAGGGATACTGTAGTTAAGAAAAAAAAACAAAAACCAGATTAAAAAAACCCTAAACCTGTCTTCCTGGAGCTGACATTTAGATGGGGGTGGAGGTGGCAGGTAGAGACCCACAGTAAACAAAATAAAGAAGTTATATAATATTACAGAAGCTGACAAGTGCTACATATGGAAAGACAGAATAGAGTAGTTAGCAGCACAGAAAGATTTATAATCAGACTGTATTTAAATCCCAAATCAGCCACCTTGTGCCTTGGTTTTATCAGTAAAATGGGGATAATAAAAGTAACACCTTGCGTTGTGAGGATTAAATGTGTTAGAATAGTGCATGGCATTATATAGAAGCTAACTTATGATTATAAGAAAAATAAAGTAAGAAAAGTGGATAAAGAGTGCTGGGGAGGCATATAATTTTAAATAGGGCAATTAGGGAGAACTCTCAAGAGGCTTCAGCTGATTAAACACCTGGAAAACAATGTGGGTATCTTTGGAAGAGGATTCAAGGTTGGGGGAACACAACACAAAGATCCTAAGCAGGAGACTGCCAGGTATGTTTGAGAAACAGCAAGGTCATTGTGGCTGAAGAGAACTGAGTGATAGGGAGACCAGCAAGAGATCAGAGATGCCATCTGAGGTGGGGAGGAGGCATGTGAGGGCAGAAAACATGAAGCCTTTACTCTGAGTGAGATGAGGAGCCTTCGGAGATTTTGAGTAGATAAATGTCCTAATCTGACTTACAGCCACACCCTGTAGGAGAGCAAGGGGCAGAAGGAGGAAGCCTAATTAGGAAGCTACTGCAATAATTCAGAGGAGAGATGATGGTAGCATGGACCAGGATGGTGGCGGCAGAGGTGGTAAGATTCTGGATCTATTAGTTATAACCAATAAAACATTCTGAAATGGATGTGGGTGTGAGGGAAAGAAGAGTCCAGAATGAAACTAAGGATTTGGGCTAGGGCAACTATAAAAGCACAATAGTCATTAACTGACTATTGTGCAGATTATAAAAGTTTTCCAGGGAAAGCTGGATCTGGAAGAGGTCTAGAAATTCTGTCCTGGGCATGTTAGCTTTGCAGTCTCTGTGAGAATCACCAAACAGAGGTGTAGAGTAGGTAGATTATATTCAAGTCTGGAGTAACTGAGAAAGGTCTGGGCTGGAGATATAAATGTGGAAAGTGTCAGCATAGAGATAGTAATTAGAGTCATGAAATTATGTGAGTGCATCAAGGGCAGTCTGTTGTAGCTGGAAAAGAAGAGGAAAAAGGATGGAGCCCGGGGGCACTCCAGTGACAGGTCAGAGAGATGAGGCAAAACCAGAAGAGGCTGAGAAAATCAGCTGACGGCAGGCCTCCTTTGCCCTGAGGCAATCAATAGAGCCACTTGCATTTAGGTTTTAAAGGCCTTATGCAGAGAAGGGGACAGCAGTCAGAGCTCAGGGTCTGCCTAAGATGGAGTCTAACAGAAAACTGGCCCTGCTAAATTGGAATTCCAAAGGGCTACACCCTTACTGTAAGGATGAACCAAAACCAAATTTCACACCTTCCTGCCCCCCAGGACCATGCCTCGGGGGACCACAGGAAAATTTTCTTGGTGCTGAGCAGAGCAGAGACAGAGCAAACAAACGAACCGAACAGTCCTGATGGTTGTAACTGTAAGCCAGCCCTCTTGCATGTTTGTAGCCCAGATTCATACCACCTAGGTAACCCCAAATACATGGTCCCCAAATGGCAGTGCCTCTAGGTGTCTAGCAGAAGCAAATGCAGACCCTCTCTGGATGAAAGTACCATCATTCTAGGGCTCAGTGAATTTCCCACAGATAATTTTAAGGATAACAAGAAGAATCTAAGGATAACAAGAAGAATCTGTAAGGTCGGATCTTAACAAACGGCACCGCGAAACAGAGGAAAGCTTCAAGTGAGCTTTATTAGGGAGCGCTCCCGGGCGA